CTCTCCCTCTCTCTCTCTCTCTCTCTCTCTGACAAATAAATAAAATAAAATCTTTTTTTTTTAAGGAAAAAAAAAGATGTCTAGATCACAGTAATCTATTGACTGTAAAGAAACCAGCTTTTTGGTTGGATGTGGGAATCAGTGGTTGGGTTGGCAACAGCGGGCATTAAATTGTGGGATAGGGGCACCTGGGTGGCTCAGTGGGTTAACCTCTGCCTTTGGCTCAGGTCATGATCTCAGGGTCCTGGGATCGAGCCCTCCATCCGGCTCTCTGCTCAGTGGGGAGCCTGCTTCCCCTCTCTCTCTGCCTCTCTCCTACTTGTGATCTCTGTCTGTCAAGTAAATAAAATCTTAAAAAAAAAAAGATTGTGGGATAAAGTGTCTGAGAAGCAGGGCTTGGATGAGTAAGCGATTCCTATATGAATCTTGGAAAAGAGCATTGTTGGTGCAGATAGTTAAGTCCAAATACGTATGCCCAGTGTTGACAGCTAGAACGAATAAAATCCGTATGTCAGACGAAAGTGGAGATTTCCTCATATTGATGTAGCTGTGACAAGCTTCACCAAACCTTGACCTTCTGTGAACACACCCACTAGCAAGAGCCATGAGCCACCTGCACCTTTTTGTGGGGTAGTTCTGGACACCATTACATAGCCCTGAAACTGCTTACAGGCGCGTAAATTGTAGGTGCAGCTGCTTTCAATATGCAAGCCCAGGTGGGGGCTAGTGCTGGACCTATTTCAGAAGCTAACCTGTGGGCATATGGAACCAGGCCTGTGTCTGCTAAAAATCTCACACGCTTTGCTATTATATGGTGAAAGTCTCATCTAAACCCCGAGAGCGGGTGCTTGAGTAACAGTCGTAGATGGTAAAAAAAAATTCAGGGTCTCTGTGTTTTATTTCCTGGGAAGCCTATGCAGTTCTCCCCTGTGCAGTATTTCAAATGGTTTTTAAAGGATTTTTTTGGTTTACAGATAACAACCTCTTCTACAAGATGGCCATTAAGAGCAATAAAAGCTTAGCCAGAACCTACCTCAGTTTTGCTTTGGATGCTCTGAATGGGATTTTAAGAAGAGCCAAAAAAGAAAGGGAAAATATGTATATCCCTCAGGAGTATTTCTGCTTGTACCATGTCTTTTATGTTAACTAAAAAAGATATGTTTTAAAGAAGGTAATCTCTGTGTATGGTAAAACAAATTTTAAATGGCAATAAAAAGGATATAACATGCAAAATAAATGTTTCCCTTCTCATCTCCCATCCCAACCTAAACCCTAGTTCCTGTTCCCAAATGTTAACGGTTTTATGACTTTCTCTGAAAAGTTTTGTGTGTGCATACATGTTTTATGTATATGCTCTGACTTAAAAGTATACACAGATGAGATCGTACCAAATACACTGTTCTGCATTTTGGTTTCATTTAAAAATTTATCACGGAGTTCTTTCCATACCCCTATACACAGACCTATCTCGCCATTTTGGGGGCTGCATGGAACCCACTGCATAAACATTCAGTATGACAAACTATGTAAGCAATTCTCTACTGCAGGGTATTTGGGTTGTTTGGGGGTTTTCTCTCTAAAAAAAAAAAATCTGCAGGGAATATTCTTGTTACAAACACGTTTGTATACTTAAAAAAGTATATCTCTCATAGTAGTCTCCTACAGGTACAATTTTAGGTCAAGTGTACAGGCACTTAAAGTTTTAGCCATATAACCAAGTGGCCCTCCAGTATGGTTAACTGGGATTGCCTTCCCACCGACAGTTATGGATGCTTGCTTACCCACACACCTGCCAATTCTGGTGATATTAAATGTTCTCAAACATTTGTCCGTCTGGTGGGTCAAGAAGATCCCACTGCAGTTTTGATTTGCATTTCTTAAATTATAAGTAAAGCAGAGCATCTTTCCATTTGCTTATGGAGTATTTGTACTTGGTTTTCTTTGAATTGCCTGCTCATCATTCTTTGCCTATCTTTCTTTTGAGCTGGTGTCTTTTTCTGCTATGTATTTTTGTGTTCAGCAAATGTGGATTCCTACTATGTGGTAAGCACTGTGCCGGTCCCTAGAGCTGTAATAGTGAGGAAACACCCATCAGAGCTTCCAGGGCTCCAGGAGACGGACATTAGTCCAGTCATGCTCTGAGTGGATGTGTGTAGAGACTGAGTTAAGTCCCTTGGAGGAGAGGATTTTGCATGTCTTAGAGCACATTAAAGAAGGACAGCCCTGAACTGGGAGTTAGGGAAGACTTCCCTAAGGAGCTGTCATCTAAAGAACGAATACAGTTTGAGGTTCAGAGAAATACTTCTGGAAGAAAGGACGGATTGTGGAGGGAACATGATGTAGTAGATGAGTGAAAATAAGGCCAGGGAGCAGAGCACAAAGAGCAGAAAAGTGTGGGATGAATTTCCACTATTTCACCACGGGCCCAACCCATTAAGGACTGGGGGTTTCTTCTCTTACAGAAATAGAAAGCTATTGAAGGGTGTTGAGCCAACAGATGAGGGTCAAACTTGCATTCCAAAGAGATTACTCTGGCTGAAAAGAAGGGAAATAGGTAGATCAGTTAGAAGGTTCTGAGTTATATGAGATCTGGTGGTTGTCTCGCCCTGGATTATGGCAGTGGACTTTATGAGAAGTTGACGGGCTCAAGAAATATGGAGGAGGTCAAATAAAATTTGATGATTGGATTGGATAAATGGATAAGGAAAGGGGGGCCCAGGATAATTCCCCTATTTCTAATGAAGTGGATGGTAGTACCACTTACTGACATAGGGGACACTGGAAGAGGTCAAGGGTGAGGTCAGTCTTAGGCATCTATGTGAAGCTATCAAGTAAGCCATCAGATAAAGAAGTCAGGGACCAGAGGAGAAATCTGGGTTGGAAACAGAAATTTGGGAGCCACCAGAATACAATAATTAAAGCCATGGCATAGATGAACTTGCCCAAGAAAGTACAGCACCCAAATCGGATCTACCCTTCATCCTCAAGGAATGCTAATACTCAGTAACTGAGTAGAGAAAGATGATGCAGAAAAGAAAGAACAGATGAGCAGCCTTAGAGCAGGAGGAGAACAAGAATGTTTCCATTAGGATTGGAGTGGTCACCTGTGCCAGATGCTACTGAGACATCTAGCAAGGGAAGGCCTGGCAACATGGAGGGCTTGCTGACATTAATTTGAATTGTTTCAGGGGGATATAGGGGACAGGAGTCAGGTTGGAGCTGGCTGAGGAATGAAGGGGAAGTGAGGAATTGAAGAGACCATATGCACCACTCTCAGGTGTGGTTTTGAGAGAAAACAGCCCCGAACCTACTCTTCCTCAGTCTCTACTCTTGACCTTCTTTGCCACTCAGTAAACTGAATTGCTTTGATAATTCAGTATTCAGTGCTCCACAACTGTGGTCTCCCAGTGGCTATGGGAACCAGCCAGGCAGGGATGGAGTCTGCGGGGGTCTCCTCCTCTAAAAAGGAAGCTCTTCCACCCCTTGGAGCAGCTCTGACTCTGTCGACCCCCAGAGACCCACTGTAGAAACGCTGCTGAAAATGGGTTTAAGAAACAAAAAGTCATATTTTAGAGACACCTCCTGAAAAATGTAAGGATAAATCAGGTCTGGGATTTGCAGAGTAGAACAGGTTAAGCCATGAGTTGATAATAATTGAAACTGGATGATGTAGACACAATGGTTTATGAACTGTTACTGCTTCATTTATACATAAATTTTCCCCTAATACATGGTACAAAATTAAATTTAGTAACTGTGCAAGTGAAGTTGCAGAGAGCCAGTGACCATCACAGGCCCACTATGTAATGACACTTAACACCAGATACCTTCTAAACCCAATCCACCATTGGCTTGGGGATTTCACGGTGCCAAATGTTCTCATAGGCTGTCCTCTCTTCTCTCATTAACTGAACACTTTGTTCCTTGCCCCTTTTCTCCTTTCTTACCTCCCTCCTATGTATGGACATAGTTCTATCACTTCTCATCTTCACGAATTTGAACAAGTTCCCTCTCATCCCTGAACCACACTCTGAGAGACAGGGACAGACACCTGCTTAGCAGTGTCATGAGGGTCAATTTTGACTGTGTACGTGGGAGCCTCTAGTAGGGTTCATAGCCTCAAAAGCCCACAGGAGTCTGGAAGGTCATACAAATGAATGAAGGTGATCAGGTAGGAGAAAATCATGGGACCCGCTTGACCTATCTTTAGCATTGTCACTTTTAGTAGACCTACAAGTAGAAAGAATTCTAAGAAAACTTCTGTTCTGTGAGAGAAATCACAATGCAAGCATGATCGTAAATGGGATAAATAATCCATAGTCATAAATGAATGGGCAGTATACTGAGACTTAGCCTCAGTATTGGGGAGTCGTAGGGAGCAGTGGGGTTGGGACAAACCAGAGCACACACACCCCATCTAACGGGGCAGTCCTCCTCAGCTCCAGCTGGTTGCTGCCATGAGGGGATGTCGAGCCAAAGCTAACATGTCTTCTTGTTTTACAAGACAAGCTAGAAGCTAGAGAACCCAAGTTGAGTTTGGGTTTAATTATTTCAAAACAAAACAAAACACGATGAAGGCCAAACTAAGCTTATCTGTGGGCCAAAATCAGCTCCCGGGCTGCCACGTGCCACCTCTCACCCAGATAGTGGGATATAACACGATTCCCCTTCCTCTCCTTTTCTCTTCTTCCTCTAACTCTCCCCTTCCCCTCTCCATTTCCACATCCTTCTCTCCTAACCACCCCCCACTCCTCCTTTCTCTACTAAGTCCAAGTGGTGGAAGGGCTTGAATGGGTGGAAGAAGTGATTGTGCCCTAGATTCCTCAGGGCCGAGCTCATGGCCTGCCATAGTGAGTCTTCTTCATAGTGGATCTTCATAGTGGATCCTCAGGAAACACTCTGATGAATGAATGAGCCAACAACTAGGGGTCAGGGGACCTGTTCACTCTCTTGTGCACACCCTGGGCTTACGTGAGGAACTGTCTCGTTGTTCTTGCCAGCTTTGCGAAGTCGTTCTGGCCGCTCCATCATCAACGGGAACTGGGCGATTGACCGGCCGGGAAGGTACGAGGGTGGAGGGACCATGTTCACCTACAAGCGTCCAAATGAGATCTCGAGCACCGCTGGAGAATCCTTTCTGGCTGAAGGCCCCACGAATGAGATCTTGGATGTCTATGTGAGTTTGCATGTTTCCGGACGATTGGGATTCTGCATCTTGTTTCTTCCCAGGACCACACGTAGCACAGATAAGCGATAAAGCGGTGCCTGTGGTCAATAGAACCATTCGAGCTGAGCCTTTTGAGGTACCTGGGTGCTTAGTGTTCATCTTTGCCATTCTGAATGTCCCTAGTTCTTAGAAACCTAACCTCTACCAGATGCTTATTACCCTCCAAGTTTATGGACCTCCTAAAACCGTTTTTACTTGTTGAACCAAATCAGAGGCAAAACATGTCCTTTATTTCATGAGCATTGGCTTCCCTCCAGGCACTTTTCTCCTAATGCTAATTTGGCATGTTTTCTTTTTATGGCAAAAGAAAGCAAATGCCTAAAGCAAGACAAGACCGCTCAAGTTCCCAGCCCTCTTCAAATTCTATTAAAGCGAATGAAGAAACTAGAGCTCCAGAGTACTCCACATGATACAATAAAGCTCGGAGTAACAATACGGAGGTTTACTACAGGTTTCTTGCCTGGCAGAAGACACAATTTGGGATTTATTTTACAAGAAACTAAATTATGAAGTCGCCCCGGATTTAAAATGGTCCTTATTTTTCAAAGAAAGCACTAAAATCCAGTCTTCTTCAAAAGATCAGGAAATTTTAAAAAGTGACAAGAAATAAAAAGCTCGAAATCGGGTTTTGATAAAGACGAGCTCACCCACAGATCTGCATTCTCTTACCATCTCCAAAGCCATGCGAATCTACATGCTACTTTGCTATGTTAGAATTTTATAAATATTAGTTCTCCCAACTATATAGTTACCCGTTCATTCCTGTTGGGCCTGGAGGCTCATAGACTAGAAACTATAAAAGAAGCCTTGTTATAGTTAATTTTGAATATTTTTTTTAAGACTGTCCTGTTGGTTGTTGGACTCTGGGTAAGTTTCAAATGGCATCAGGGGTAAAAACCCCGGTTGTGAAGGGGCCACTGTGGGTGGTCTAGGATGCGGTGGCCAAGAATAACTTCATAAATGGGACAAGGGTTGCACTGGCAGGATGCTCATGCAGAAGAGGCATGAGAGAGGCAAGGAGAGCTTCCGGCCTCAGACCCACTGTCAGAATACGTGAAAAGAGAAATGAGGGAATTAGGGGTCAACAGTGAACCAGAGACCATGCCCCTTCATCCCTTGGAGTTCTGTTTACCACCCTGGGTCCTATGTGTCAGGAGCTCAGGGGTTCTCATGTCTGCCTTCCCTTGGTGGTTTGTAGAATGGAGGCCCCAGTTCCCATGGAGAGAGTGGGTAAGGGATGATGGTGGACAGAATCACACTCTAATGAACCAGCAAGACCCACCGTGCAGGGCTAACTTGGAGATGCTCACGGCTTTAAAGGACCAAAGAGACAGCTCTGACCCTAAGCTTCTTGTCCAATGAGGAAATCAAAAACTGTGAGACCCTGGGGCTTGCTCTAGGTGACACAACTGGTCAAAGGAGTGCCCCTTTAGAAAGCAGTGGAGACAGAAATATCAGAATGGCTCCTTGCCTGGCTCATAGTCACATAGTAGATCCCCATTCTGCTGCTCCTTTTAAGCCCAGCACCCTACTTCTCATCAGGAAGGCCCTGGGCACAAAGGACTGTGTGTTCTGAAGCCAGTAGAGAGAGATTTATTCTGCCAAGCTGTGCTGATTTATGTTGTGTTTTCTGTCCCAGATGATGTTTAATTCCTGACTTCCATGGCCTTCTGCAGCTTCCTGCTTGATATCCTGCTTTTGTCATTGGTGCCTGAGAGGATAGGAACCAGGGAGACTTACTTCCCTGGTTATCCTGAACCCATCTCTTTGTGGTTCTGGAGCTTTCCACGGATGAGAGGGGACGCGACCCAGAAAATGCACGTGGGAGAGGGTGGGGCAGGCCTTTCCTGAGCCAACCTCATGGCTAGGTAGGGTTCTTTGAAGGAACATGAAGGCTCCCAGGCTGGCTCTGCCCAGAGGGCTGGCTCTTCTTGGCATGACTGTATCTCGCCACCTAGTGTTCAAATGCGTCCCCCTGGAGCAGACACTTGGCTTGACCATTTTGAGCGCACCGAGCACAATCTAAACCATGGTGTTAAGATGGTTGAGAGCCCACAGAAAGGCTCTGCTACCATTGCTCCCATCTTTCTATTTGGAATGTATAACATCTTGACTTTCAGCCCAGTTTTCTTCTAACTCCTTCATTCTTCAAAAGCAAATAACAAAAAACCATCCAGAAAGAGCTTTCCTTTAACCTGTCACAGGTTCACTAATATAATTAGATCTGAATCAACCCACTCATGTGTAGATAGTGCCATGCAAACTGGGGAACCCTGGGCCAGCAGGAGAGGGATGTGAGCGTGTGCCAGTGCAGTGACATTGACCTCTATGTTGTCAGATGATCCACCAGCAGCCCAATCCCGGAGTCCACTATGAATACGTCATCATGGGGACCAACGCCATCAGCCCACAGGTGCCTCCTCACAGGAGACCAGGTAAAACCTCTTGTTCTATAGCCAACCACCCCCGCCCCCAGTCATTTCTTTTTAAAGCCCTCTGTCTCCTCTCGTGCATCTCCCTTGGGTCTCTCAGTCAACACAGACAAAACGCATGGACGTGCCCTTGACATCAGAGGATGCTTCACCATTTATCTGAGCCTTTGCTGATAAGAGGGTCCCATTCACTTGATTCAAACACGAGGTGAACATCTCGAGTCTGTCTTTCCAGTTCATTATCTTGAGATACCCGATATTAGTTCCCTCTAGCTGCCACGTAACAAATTACGTCAAACGTGGCGGCTTAAAACAACACAAATTTGCTATCTTACAGTTCGGGAAGGTCAGGAGTCCAAAATGGGTTCTGCTGGGCTGGAATCAAGGTGTCAGCAGGCCGTGCTCCCTGTGGAGGTTCTAGAAGGTTCTGTCGCCCTGCCCTTTTCACTTCGAGAGGCCTCCTGCGCTCCTTGCTTCTTGGTATCTTCCTGCGTGGCACCTTTGGATCTCAGGCTCTGACCCCCCTTCTTCCATCATCACATCTCTGGGCCCCCCAGACAAACCGAGACCATTCTCTATCCCCAGATCTTCTAACTTCATCACATCTGCAAAGCTCCTTTTGCCATATAAGGTATCATCCTCATGGATTAGGATGCAGGCACCTTCAGAGGGCCATTATTCTGCCCACCTCAGGCCTTTTCTCTTGGTCCCCTTTTGCTTCTACTGTCACTACTTTGACTTGTAAGGAAAGAATAATAAGTTCACACTTAGTTATCTACCTCTTTTCTGCGGGCTCTGCGATAGATAAGCAGCCCTCTGGCTCTGTGGATGTTTCTTTACCAGATGATAACAGAACCCACTACCCAAATGGAGACTACTTTTTTCCATCTTTTGGACAGGAAGGCCTACATAAATAGCAGCACTAATATCACTCACATGCTCTGAGTCTTTGCTGTGTGCCAGACACCGCTGAGCCCCTCACATAGCTGAACTCACCAAATTATCATGACAGCGCTCAGAGGAAAGGGGCTGTTTCAGCCTCATCTTAAAAATTAACAGGGGCGCCTGGGTGGTTCAGTGGGTTGAGACTCTGCTTTCGGCTCAGGTCATGATCCCAGGGTCCTGGGATCGAGCCCTGCATCGGGCTCTCTGCTCAGCAGGGAGCCTGCTTCCTCCTCTCTCTCTCTGCCTGCCTTTCTGCCTATTTGTGATCTCTCTCTCTGTCAAATACATTTTTTAAAAATTAACAAATGGAAACTCAGAGACATGGACTTTCTGTCTAGGTCCCACAGTGACTTCAGTCCCCTGTCTGTTATACCACCTAGGGTTAGCTGCTCTGACATCTGTCCCAGCAATGAGGGCACAGATGTGAGGCCTGGCCCTCCAGATGGATAACAGCTGGGTCATCTGACTGTCACAGGTCAGGGGGGAGCCACCCAGCTCCTTGGAGACAGCAGGGTGTGAGCGGGCACGTGGGCTGTGCATGTTGTCCAAACTGAACATCAGCACACTCAGCCCAACACGAGGGGCAAGCCATTTGCAGGAAGGGTACGTAGTCTGAGAAACAAGGTTCAGATGGCAGAATATGGACGTTCCTGAGATCTGATGCTGATGGATAAGGACAGTCGGACAGACCATTCGAAATCCTACAGCGTGATGATGGTCATAACAAGCTGGATGGGTCTCAGCTAATGGGTAGCATGGGATTAGCTACCTGCGGCAGGGCGGGCCCAGGAGTCAGTTGTAAAGAGCTGGTGAGGAGGGGCATTCTCCACCCTCCATGAGCTTGAATCCAGCTCTGCCACTTTTTTGCTGTGCACCCTCAGGCAAGTCAGAAACTTCTCTGAGCAAGTTCCCAATCTACATAGTAGTGAAGGGGAAAAAACCCTACATGCCAAGGTATTTTTTTGAATATCAGGTGCCCATCCAGCATAGTGCCCACCCAGTACATGCAAGGTGTGCAAAAGGTTTTAAAATCTTTTTGTCTGGTAATATTTTAATCTTGCTTATGTCAGCATGCGTCGTCTTGATTCCGTTGATTTAAATTGTGTTTAATATTTAAAGCCATGAAGTGTAAGTGATGGAGGGTGGGGAAAGCCCTGAGTTTTAACTGGATTCTACAGTAACTCTGGAATTTGCCTCCTTGTTTTGTATCAAACTAGTATATGCTTGAATAATATTCAACCAAAATAGAAATATAGGAAGGAAGACGCAGGTGCCCCATAATTGCCCAAACTTGGATGAAACCAACTGAATGGATAGATAAACTGAGGTCTTCCAGCCAGTGGAATATTATTCAGCACAAAAAGAAATGAGCTACTTAGCCACTGAAAGACATGGAGGAAACTTCTCACAGTGAGAAGGAAGAGCTGTTGACTTCCCACAGCTTTTACTTCCCTGCAAAAATCTGTATCCAGAACACCTAAGGGCTTGGCCACTTGGCCTGGGAGAGGAGAGACAGACACGAAGGGCAGAACACAAATTTAATCTCTCATAAGGGCTCCTGCCACACCTGTGTAGACATATATACAAAATTATTTCTGCTGTGCTTTTTTCTTTCATCAAACAATGTATCAGTCATATCTTCATGTCACAACATATAATTTTGCTTCATTCTTTCAAAGAAGAAAAAATAACATGCCGTATTTTAACAAGTACCACCGGTGGACATTTAAGTTCACTCTACTGTTTGGCTAATTCAAAACACGCTTTAGTAGCCGTGCTTGTACACACAGCTTTGTGTAAAAGAATGGGAATATTTGTAGGGTAAATGTCCTAGAAACTGAATCTCTAGTCAAGTGGTATGTACATTTAAAACTTGGGCAGAGGGTGGAGCACCTGGGTGGCTCAGTCAGTTAAGCATCTGCCTTCGGCTCAGGTCATGACCCTGGAGTCCTGGGATCGAGCCCCGCCTCAGGCTCCCCACTCAGTGGGGAGTCTGCATCTCCTTTTGACCCTCTCCCCTCTCGTGGTCTCCCTCTCTCACGGTCTCTCTCAAATAAATAAATAAAACTTGGGTAGAGAGTTGCGGGAGGTGGATGGGGGGGATGGGATAACTGGGTGACGGACATTAAGGAGGGCACGTGATGTAATGAACACTGAGTGTTCTATGCACCTGGTGAATCACTGACCTTTACCTCTAAGACTAATAATACACTATGTGTTAGTTAATTGAATTTACATTAAAAAAATCAAATAAATAAATAAATAAATAAATAAATAAATAAAATTTAGGTAAATATGGCCAAATTGCCCTCTATAACTTTGTGTCTATCTGCCGGCTCCTCGTCCTTGGTTTTCCTCTACCTTCAGTGAGGGGTTTAGGGATTTAAGGGTCTCCAGATTTTCTCTCCTTTATCATGAGGCTAATAAAGTGGTGGCAATTTTTTGTTTTCACATGAAGTTCTTTCATTATGAGTGAAGTTGAGCATTTTTGTATGACTTTGGGCTATTTGTGTTTCTTTTTATGTGCCTGGCCTCTTCCTGGCCCTTGCCTGCTTTTCCTACTGAGACATTTGTCTGTTTCTTATTCATTTTTAACCATGTTTTGAATTTGGGGGAAATTGGTATCTGCATGTTTAAAGTACGTATGCTCTGAATTGGGAATGACCTCATGCTACGTGATTTCTAATGTTGGAGGGCTGTCCTTAGGGGAGTTCCGGGTCCAGACCAGTCTTACTTCCATGTGCATGCACCTGTCTCTCCTAGGAGAGCCCTTCAATGGCCAGCTGGGAACAGATGGAAGGAGCCAGGAGGAGGGAGCAGAGAAAGAGGGGGCCGAGGAGAAGGAAGATGTGCATGGCGGCGCCCCCGAAGTATTCACCTCGGAATCGGCACAGACCTTCCCAGTCAGGCATCTAGATGGATTTTCCTCCCACCGACCCGACAATCTGGTGCCAGTGGCCCCGCAGCCCCCAAGGCGAAGCCGGGACCACAACTGGAAACAGCTCGGGACCACAGAATGCTCCACGAGTTGCGGGAAAGGTGAGCTCCAGTGCAGGTGAGGAGGGTCTCTGCGAGGAATGGGTGGCTGGGCTTGAGGGACCTGGCACACCCTCCCCTCCTTGAGCCCGACTGTGAGGTGGTTCATTGGTATGACATTGTGTGGAGGGTCCCCGAGACCACCCTCAATCTTGATGATCCACAAGGACACACGAGACTCAGAGAGCTGCTCTCTTTGTGGCCACCACTGATTATACTGAAGGACTACAGGTGGGTATCATCAGGCAAGAAGGCATGTGGGGCCAAGTCCAGGAGAAACCAGGGGTCAGCTTCCAGGTGTCACATCCCACGAGAGTTGCACCCAGATGCACTGAATTCTCCCGGCAGTGATGAGTGACAGCAGGAGCCCAGTAGTGCGGACGAGATAATCGAGGTTTGGTGTCCAAGGGGCTTACTGTGGCTCAACCGCATAGGCATGGAGCCCCCACACGACTGACGTTAGCTCCTCAGCCTTGAGTGCCCAGAAGTCAAACTGAGAGACAGAATATGGCCCAAGACCTCAGGCCCACAAAAACAGGCATTCAGCCCAGTCTCATTGCTGGTGTAAACTACCTCGACTGACACAGTGTGGTCCAGGGCATGGAAAAACACTCCTATCAGCAGAATAGTCCACGGGCTCAAAGGTTGTCTCCAGCCCTGCTCCAGGGCCAGTCCTGAAGACCGGCCTGTCTTTGGAGTGTGGTGGGTTGATCACCCATGGTCTTCTGAGTTAACCCTCTCCTGCATGACACGCTCATGAATCACCACAGAATGTGTTCACCGAGTTTCAGATCCAGAAGTTGAGGTGTACCCACAAAGATACCAGGTGAAACTCATTCTCCAAATCTAAGATTCCAGATGAAAGCACACCCGTGGGGCTTGAGGTATCTCTGGGCTCTTACACTCACCAATGCTCACAGCTCCCACTGTTCTCTCTGTAAAACCTCCACCCTTGGTCATCCCACTGTCCTAACCCCATCAGCTACGACCCTGGGGAGCCAGCCTGTGGCCCAGCCATGCCAGCTCCGTGGACTCCTAGCAGGAAGGGAGACCACCCACCGGAGACACGAGAGGGAGCAAAGGGTGTCTCTAAACAAAAGAAAAGAGTTACAGGATTTGGGAGAAGGGCGGATGGAGTTGAGGTGGTATTTAAAGAAAGCTGGGTTTTGATAGGTTCAAAGCAAAGCAAGGCTGTGGGCAAAGGGGTCAGTACCAATATGAGTCTGAACTGTCGGGTGGATCCAGGGCCCTATTTCCTTGAAAACTCTAAAGTTAAGGTATGCGTGGAATGTGGTGTCCAGAAGGCCGCTGTTGAATGTCTGGCACCTGGGTTGGAAATCGAGGCTGTTTTCAGTTTCAAGGTGCTGTAGCCCCTCAGGGCAAGGATCTGTCTGTGACCACTGGGGACTATGATGCGTGGTAATCGCCTCCTATTTGTAAGGAAGTCCTATTTGTGACCCTAAAACCCCTGTCCTTGGAGGGGAGGTGGCCACGGAAATGGGAAGGCCATATCCCAAGAAGGTCCTGCTGCCAGGAAACTGTGATACACTGAGAGTATTGGTTTGGGGATTTTCTTTCTTTCTTTCTTTCAAGAGACATGTACCCGAGGGTACAAGATTCGGGAGCTCTGCCATAATTTGCACCTGGGAAATTTTCACAACCGCCTCTAAAGCCTTTATCTTTTTCCCAAGAGTGTTGGTTTAGTGGCTTTTGAGAAGAGAATTGAAGTGTTTGGTTCTTCGTGGGGGCTGGGGTGTCTCCTGCCTGGACCCCCAGCCAGTTCCTTGATGACAGAGAAGTGGAGCTCTGATTTCTGGAGCTGACAACATGCAGATATTAGTGGGTTTTTGCTTAATCTGTGTGCAAAGAATGTGGGCTGGAGATTCATTGGCCTAACCCCTTTTTTAAGCTTTAGGAGGGAAAAAGAAATGCCCATAGAATGTGTCCGAACAGAGGCAGGAAGCTAAAGCTAAATTACACAAGAAGGCCCAAGTCATTTCGGTCACCCCTGGAACTGCGGGGGGGGGGGGGGGGAGGATGAAACACAGCTGACATAGGGACCCAGGGTCCAAATGTGGGAGTACTGACGTTTCCCACCATGGAGTTAGCGGTGCAACGCCCACCGGAGGAACCAGACACCTTTGTGCTAGGTACCCACGAGGGAAAGTTATAAAAAGAAGAAAAATTGCCATCCTGTGGTTTTGTATCAAAGAAGGCAGATGTGTAGAAGATGCTCTTCCCCTTGGTGTCTGGAAATATCGCATGGCCCAGCCTTTCCAGTCAGGTGAGATGTTGCTGCATCTGGATACCGTCAGACAGTACCTCATGGACTTCAATAGAATAAGAACCAAAACATGTACTGTTGCCCTCTCACCCTTCATGCTGCACACACAGCCCTGCGTTCACCAAATAGACACCACATAGCCTGATGGTCATTCAACGGGGTCATTCAAGGCATGATAGAGGGACCCCATTTCTAAAGATTCTGATTATCTTTCCCCCAGCCAACCCTAGCCTGTGGGATCCACACTGAGCCAAACACCAGCCTCCTTTACTCTATTCCCTGGTATGGAGCCAGCAAACCGCTTACACTCCCCGATCTAGCTCAGGTGCATCTCCTCCGTGAAGCCCTTCTTGATCCTGCAAAGCACAGGGGAGCACTTGCCCCATGGGACCGCATAGCAACTCGGGCCACATTCTTGCCCCAGCTCGGCGTGGCCTAGCTGTCTCTGCTTGTGGACACCTTGTATCGCCTGCCCCTGGGATTGTAGCCAGACCACAAGGAGATGCTCCTCAAGTGTTTCTTGAACTGATGAATATATTGTCAAATGAGGGGTATCCAGCTATTAGAAAAGATGTAAGAGTGGTTTATACATCATTGCATCCTGGATAAGCAAGGCAGTACTGCCTTACTGTGTTTTATCCGTAGCTTGAAGAATGTGGATTTATGTACTCGCAGCTAAAGAGTCTTTTTCTCGACATTTCCATATGATTTGGTTTAATGTTCTTAATATAGTCTTTCTCCTTTGCCCTGTGGACACACACACACACACACACACACACAGCATTTTTCCCCAGCCCTCCCTTCTCTCATACCCCTAGCCCCTTGCTCTTCCGCCGGACAAATGGCAGCAGCCCATGGATTCCCCTCCTTTGCTCCCTGTAGGGTTGCTCCCAGCAGCGATGGCTGGATTGCAGGCAGATGAGGCAATATAGACGTGCCCTTGTTCAGATCAACAGTAGTGACAAATATAACAGGACCATGCCCTTCCGAGCCCACTGGTGCCATCCTGCTCTTGTATGCACATCCCACACCCACGCCCCCTGTGACCTCACCATTCGTCCCCACACAAATCTTCTCCCATCCCTCCTGGTGGAGCTCCCCAGACCACATGTCTCCATGCCTCTCAAGGAAAACCCCCCTTATGGTATCACCATCACAGTGAGGGGTCCTGCCGCTGGCAGCACGTAGTGGGTCGTACTCCATCCAGCCGTTGCCCAGACCTCTGTCTGGTCAAACACTTGGCTTGGCTCAATTGACTTTTGGAGTTCCAAGACTTGGATGATTTCATCTTTTTCTTGCTCCGTATTTTGTCCCTCTCTTCACAGTGCCGCACCAACCTCTCTGCAGTATCCTCCAGACTCACTGACTTGCCTCCTTTAATATCTGCGGATTACCTGCGGTCCCATTCCCTCCTCCAGGATAACATACCTCTGTTCTGATCAACACGCACAACATAAAACCCAACTAAAATGATCCCAGATTTTTCCTGCTGTTTGAAGCCCAGCCATCACCTGACCTCACCAACCCCAGTCTCACTTGCCAGCAATTAGAGGCGGAATAGAATGGTGTGCTGTACAATGAAGAGATGGCCAGGTACCATTTGAGTGACACTCTCCCTCTCTGCAGAAATCAAAACTGACCCAAAGAAAGAAACCACGTGGTCATTGGAATCAAGAATCATAGTTCTGGTGTTTTCACACCAACAGAGAGCGAGCCTCTGAATTTACATCCTTGGCTGAACACTGGAGCTGGACCGTGGTGGACAAGTGTGTGTAAGGGCAGTTAAGGATGAGGAAGGTCCGTGGCCATGTGCAAACAGCCCTGAGCAGGACCCATCTCTTCAAGGCACAGAGCATTCCTATGACATCCTGTATCCTTTTAGCTAAAGATTCTAAATTACCCCCTCATTCGAGTGCCATAGGGTTGGAGTAGTAACTTTTGCTTTCCAGTCCGCAAACTTGACAGCTAAAAAATTAAACCCACAGGGTCTGAAGGGATAAATAATACTATTTTTACTTAATCACTTAATAGCTGGGTCCCAACTGGGTACCCCACAAGGCGTGAATGGAATCTTATTCATCTTTGTAAGTGAGCACAAGGTGCTTAATGTTTGTGGAATTTAAACAATCTCTTCATGGAAGCAGATATGTCATGGGACAAAATTTAATTCCATAGAAGTTTCTGTCTCCTATTAATTTTACACTTTTTTTTTTACTCCGCCAATAATTATACTTCATTAGAACATTATTTTTTAAATAATGGTCTCAAAGCTACATTATGAGTTTTTACTGCCAGAGCCGTTTTGAAACAAATGATCATTTTAGATTCAGAACTGTCTTCCAATTTGTCGGGTTTCTTATGGGAACCGCCCTGTGGCTCAGGGGTCACACAAGATCAGCTTCCACAAGCAATGACACGCTTTTCATGGACGATGAAATATGGAGATGTTTATGTGAAAAGTTATCCCTCTGGTTACAATTAAACTATCTTAACTTGGAAGTTCAGAAACTCCAAACACCAGGCCAATTAGCAACAGAGCTAAGACAGAACTGTAGAATAAGTGATTGTGTTCTGCCCAGCAGGAATTGGGTAGTGGCCTAGACTGGGGGCCGGCGGGGTCGGGGGAGGACAGACAATTATTTGTGGAAAAACATATTTTTCAGACAGTTGTATGGCCTGTTCCCTGGTTACCTATCTCAATTTGTACACATCTGTTAGCAATACCCCGTGCTACCACCAGAGGGAAGCAGAGAGAGGCAGACAGAATTGTCCGCTTTTTTTTTTTTTTTGGTCAAGCTAGAGATTCCATTTAATGGATTCTGACTTTTTCTCCAAAATACATTGATCACTGGGTGTTGTACGCAAACAATGAATTATGGAACACTACATCAAAAACTAATGATGTACTGTATGGTGACTAACATAACATAATAAAAAATACATTTATTCATATTAACTCAATGAGTCTCAGCTATGTATTTAAAACAAAACAACAACAACAACAACAACCCGGAGGCAGTTAGTATATTTTACAAAATAATATAAACAAATATTAGACCTATGATAAATATCCATTCAGTATTTTTACTGAGTGGCTGTTACTCTGCTAGGTACTGGGATTACAGCGATGAACAAGAATTAGTTCTGCCCCTGAGAAGCTCTCTGTCTCATGGGAAGCAGACATCTACTCAAATAACTGAAAATGCCATTGGATCAGTGCTTTATTAGGGGAATGGGTAGAATGCTTTGCAGCATAGGGCGAAGCCGGCTGCTCTCCTAACCGGTCCTGCATCTTCTTCTCTGCTTAAGCCTGACTCTCACACATTCCAGGCACATGCAGGCCAGTGTGTTGGGCACTTTTGTTCCTGTTCAGCCGCCTGGACAGCCCCCTCCCTCCAAGACACACATGCGCATGGCTACCCAAACTCCGCTCTTCTCTAGGATCCAGCGAGACCCTCTAGGACCCTTTCTCTGTGATGTCTCCAGAAAACCTCCAAACAGTTATTAATTGTGGTCATTTTATAATCACTCTCCTGCTTCATGGTATCTTGAACTGTTAGGAAAATCGCATCTGCCTTTAGCACATTCCAACTGTGTCCGCAAAGAGATGATAAGGTTTTGGAAGGCAGTAATTCTTCCTACTCTTGTTTGCCCCCACAGTGCCTGGCACAGCCCTTGTGGGGGAGGTGTGTGTAAATGCATGAACGAAGGAGGAATGTGTGTGTGTGTGTGCGTGTGCGTGTGCGTGTGTGTGTGTGTGTGTGCGCGCGCGCGCGCACGCACATGCTCTGTTCCTGCAGCCTCTCTTTATCGGTACCCGGATCTCTGTGCACCTGCACCCTGAGCCCGACATTTGACTGTGTGGGGCTGTCCTTGACAAGTTCTCCTTGCCCTTGCAGGATCGCAGTTCCCTATTTTTCGCTGTGTACACAGAAACACCCACGAAGAGGTTCCCGAGAGCTACTGCGACTCCAGCATGAAGCCTACCCCTGAGGAGGAGCCCTGCAACCTCTTCCCTTGCCCAGCCTTGTAAGATGCGGACGTCGCCTGTTACCGGGTCGCTTCTGGGGGCTTGTGCATAAGACCTTAGTAGCAGACATAAAATCTGTCTACACCTGATTTAGAGCCATGAGACTTGGTCTGTTCAGCAAGGGCACCTGTCTGGGGGTGAACTCGGCAGCTTGTAGCCTTTAGCCGTGAGCACACACCTGTGGTCATTTGGAGCAATTACGTGCAAGCTTGGTGGGGGAAAGCAAAGAGGAAGCTGAGAATTAGAGTCCGTCGTGGTCGGTGTTGTAGGTGAGCTGTGAGCAGGGAGAATGAGGAGAGTCACAAGTCCTTGGGCAAGAAGGAGTCGGGAAAAGTATCTCAGGAGAGGTCTTGGGGTGGTTACTGAATGATGAAGAGGACACTTCCAGAAGAACAAGGAGATAGGGTCTCCACATAATTTTCAAAGTAATAGAAACATTCTCCTACGTATTGAGCGTGTGCTGATTCTTGTGTAACTAAGAGACAAAGCAAGGTGACAGGGGAGCATCGTGCACCTGATGAGCAAGTAGCTCCTGAGAAGTAAAGAACTCTGGAGAAGATCTCTAAGAGCCAATGTGGGTTATGTTCTACAGGGGGATGCTAAAACTACCATTTGGAGTTTGGGGGGTTTTTTAGGTAAAAATCATTTGCACCTTCTCGGTTTTCTTTAATTTTCTAAAACTGGGCTGTCACCACTGGTAAAGAGCTTGCGGACAGAGTTACATTGCTTCATGGGGTCCGACCGTTAAGCTGTGCTCTGGGGTGAGGGCCGCCCCCCGTAATGTTAATGGTTCTGTGTGGTTTGGCTCTCGGGGTGGTGCGGGCTCTTGGGGCTGTGCCTTCTTCCCCGGCTGAAGGTGATCCGGCCTTCTTGCGTTCTCTCATTCCTGAGCTAGCTGGGACATCGGAGAGTGGTCCGAGTGCAGCAAAACCTGCGGCCTGGGCATGCAGCACCGCCAGGTCCTGTGCCGCCAGGTGTACGCCAACCGCAGCCTGACGGTGCAGCCGTACCGCTGCCAACACCTGGAGAAGCCCGAGACCACCAGCACGTGCCAGCTCAAGATCTGCAGCGAGTGGCAGATCCGGACGGACTGGACCTCGGTAGGCGGGGCGCGCAGGCTGGTCTGGAGCTCCCGCTCCCGGATTCCTGGCCGTTCCCCCCCACCCACTGCCGGCATCCCCACCCCACCAAAGGCCCCACTCAGGGACAGCCCTGAGGTCTCCTAGAGGGAACCCCTCCTGGAGAGTTCTGGAAGGACCGTCTAGCAAACCGTAGGATGCAACCAACAGCACGCTAGAGTTAAGGCTAGTGTGCCCCGATCCTCCGCAGCCCGTGGGAGTCACGTGCATACGGGGGTGACCTGTCTCCCGTGTCATGAGACATCTGCTCCTTCCAGTCTCATACCCGGGTTTCACAGGTGACAGAACGGAGGTCCAGAGCCACAGAGTAGATGGGACAGCCAAGTCGGTCTCAGAGAAGCGGTGGTGAGGTTTTTAGGGCTGGGCGGCTCCCCAGGGGGGCCCTGCATTGCAGGGGACTCGCGGCCACCCAGGGGGTCTCTCCGCGGTCATCATCCACTCAGGTGGCGGGTGACAAGGGTGAGGGCACCAGGGCTGGGGAGGCCCCCGGAGGTCAAGCTGCCCATCTCACTGACGTATCCGTGCTATTGTAGTGCTCAGTGCCCTGCGGAGTGGGGCAGAGAACCCGAGACGTGAAGTGCGTGAGCAATATCGGGGACGTGGTGGACGACGAGGAATGCAACATGAAGCTCCGGCCCAATGACATTGAGAACTGCGACATGGGGCCCTGTGCCAAGAGCTGGTTCCTCACCGAGTGGAGTGAACGGGTGAGCGGGCTTCCTAGGGCCACGACCCAGGGCTGCAGCGGCCCTGGGCGGGGCCTGCACGTCCCAGGGGCCCCAGCCCCATGAAGATGAGTCCCTAGCTGAGCATCCCAAGGCTTGGGGGAAAAGGCTTTCCCTCCTTACACAAAGACCGAGGGGCTGCAACGGTGAGCGCTGGGCCTGAAAGAATTAGTTCTCCTTTGCACTGCACGTGAACGTTAGTGAAATCCTGAATGAAGTGAACAGGTCTCCCACGCCTCGTATGTTGTGTGAGCTCCTGGCATATAAAAGGCACTCAGCCAGTGGCAGGCCCCTTCCCTCCTTCTTACAACAGTTCACGGACTGCCCCCCTTCCCCAGTAACCTGGCCTCCCTTGGGGTCCCTGGGGGCAGGTGTCAAAGATGAAGTCTGAGGCATGTACAGTTAACTGTGTGCAAGGGAAAGCGGCAAGAGATAGAGTTCATCTGTCAAAGACAAAACTAGGGGCGCCTGGGTGGCTCAGTCGGTTAAGCGTCTGACTCTTGATTTCGGCCCAGGTCGTGATCTCAGGGTCGTGAGATCAGCCCAATGCAGTGCTCCCCTGGGCATGGAGTCTACTTGAGATTCTCTCTCTCTCCCTCCTCCTCTGCCCCCCCACCGTCACTCACATGCGTGCATGTGCACGCTTGCTTTTTTAAAAAAAAAAGAAAAATAAAAATGACAAAAATAGGATTTATAGGGATTCTGGAATTGGGTCATGGTGACCATTACACAACAGTGTAGATGTAATCAATTTCCCTGAAATATACACTTAAAATGATTACAATGGTAAATTTTATGTTGCATGTATTTTACCACAATAAAACAAAGGTTTAGGGAAAAGTACTAAGCAGAATTACAGAGCATACCTTGGGGTGGGGAAGAGAGAGGGGGAAGAGGATAATGAGCTCTACCTTCCTTTTCTTACGGAAGCTGACTGATGGACTGGCAGTGGGAGAGGGCATCCGGGGATTCCTGCCAGGGCAGCAGACTGGCCCCCACACCAAGGGAGTATGGGTTTCTGGATTCTCTAGAGCCCTTGCCGGTTGAACTGGGATGGAAACAGGACTGGCTGTCTCTGTCCTTAGTGCCTTCCTCTCAGCTGGGCCAGGTGGGCCGTTTCCCTCACCGGAATTCCTCACCATGCTCTCAAACTGGAGTGTGCCTACAGGTCACCTGGGAACCCCCACGGGGGTTCGGGGGCTGAGTCTGAGTCCCCGCTGGGAGGTGGGCCCGGGAATCTGCCTTCCTAACAGGCTCCCAGGGGCTGTGGAGGCCGCTGGGCCAAGGGTAAGAGGGGACCAGGCTAGTTCCTAGAGTGTCAGGAAACACTGAGCTCGGGAGCCTCCTCTCCCCGTGGCATCTATGGGAACGACAGGGCTCTGTCTCAAGTTCAGAGGGGGAAAGCTTCCTGTGTCGCCAGCCCGCCACGTGGGTGGATTCCTGGGCCAGCATCCCTCCCACTGGTGAGCGCCCACCATGGCGTGGTTGTCCAGTGTTCTGAGCATCACCCGGCAAATGCTCATAGGGGTTTCTACCACATCCAGCGCTAAGACACCCCTGAATTTCATCACCGTGATCACAGTAACACTCCACCTCAGCAGGGGGAGTGGTGGAGGAACAGCCTTGCCAATGCAGCCTTCACCCCACATGCGGAGATCATCCTGGAGATTTTTAACGAGTGATGGATCTGCTGTGGATTCCTGACACCTTGTGGCTTCTGGCCATGCCCCTTGGTCCCCAGAGGGCCTCCAGATAGAGAGCCCATATGTAATCACTGAACTCTAAGGACAAGCAGCGAATAGGGCCTCTGTCCCAGGAATGGGCTGAAATGGGCAAATGAGCCCTTGGGAAGGCACCGACTCAAAGGAAACAAATGGAGGCTAGGTGCTCTCAAAATGTGTCCGTGGATTCAGACTTGGGCACCGGAGGCCGAGTCCAGCAGGGCCATTCTATCTGCACTTCCCCTTTACCCCCATCCAAGCCTCCCAGCAGAACACACCTCAGCTCCTGGCAGGCAAGCAGTCCTGGGAGGCCGTCTAGAAGCCACTGTGGTCAGTCTCCTGCCGGCATGAGGAGCTCTCTGCAGCGTCCCTGACTCAGCCCAGCTCCTTCCCAGAAATTCTCAGGTTGAGGCCGTTGCCCACAGTGTCCAGAGGGTTTCTTTGGCATGGGACCAAAATGTGTCTTGCGAACTCCCACTCTGGTCGTGTAGAACATGGGTGTCCCCCCCGCAAACACACACTGCAGCCCTACAGATATTTCTAGACCTCTTCCTCCTCTTCTCCTAAAAATTCTTAGGTCCTTCAACTTTTGTTTCTGGATTTCTAGCCATCCCCAAATGCGTTTGGGTTCACAGTAAACACCGCGAAGTTAGTGTGCAAACAAACGAATAAAGAGAATGATGCCAGGCTTCCATTTTTCTACTGGGAAGACTTTTTGTAAAATAATTTTGGACTAAAATTATTTTTGTCAGATATACATAAGACCTTAAGCTAAAATGTCTGTGTCCTATAATATAAAAGTTTGTGATACAAACACAGAATTTATGATACCAGTTTAAGTTATGAAACAAAAGGAGCAAGATCATTTGAAGTCTAGAGCACTTAAACCCTTTTAATCCTTAATATAGTATATGAACTCTCATAAAGAACATGCAGAGCTTAAGGTAATAATTTCTTCCATGAATATTCAATGACTCGTATGTCCAAGTAGACTGGAGCTTGGAAATTTTTCTAAAGGTTCACATTCACCAGAGGAAATAGAGGTTTTAGAATGCTCGTGTATGGGACGCCTGGGTGGCTCAGTTGGTTGAGCGGCTGCCTTCGGCTCAGGTCATGATCCCAGCGTCCTGGGATCGAGTCCCACATCGGGCTCCTTGCTCGGCGGGGAGCCTGCTTCTCCCTCTGCCTCTGTCTGCCTGTGCTCGCTCGCTCTCCCTCTGTCGCTGAAAAATAAATAAAATCTTTAAAAAAAAAAAAAAAAGAATGCTCGTGTAAAGGTTAAAAGAGCTGAAATTATTTTCTCAGTAAATACTTCCTCACCTTCATCAATCATTATTCTAAAACATAAAGAAAATTATTTATATAACACAATATAATCAATAAAAAGCTACATACAAAGACAGGCGATGCAAGACAACTGAGTTTATAATGCATCTCAAATATTTCATCTAAAATATTTATCATAGTTCTTATATGACTACACACTTAATAACTTATCTTTACTTAACAAAATAGTAAAAATGCCATTTCTACTTTTTTAATGGGTATTTGCAAACATTTTCTCTCAAATATATTTTTCACTTAAATAATATGCATTTCCAGTTAAAGACCTAATGTAGTTATGGATCAAAATAATGTTCATTTTTTCTGGTCATAAAGTAACACATACTGCTATTAAAAAAAAAAAATCAGAGGGTGCCTGGGTGGCTCAGTGAGTTAAAGCCTCTGCCTTCGGCTCAGGTCATGATCCGAGGGTCCTGGGATCGAGCCCCGCATTGGGCTCTCTGCTCAGCAGGGAGCCTGCTTCCCCCTCTCTCTGCCTGCCTCTCTGCCTACTTGTGATCTCTGTCTGTCAAATAAATAAATAAAATCTTTAAAAAAAATCAGAAAAGCATACCTATAATCTCTTCACTAGCAGATAATAATTTAAAATTTTTAAGCTATGTTGTTAAGCTTTTTTCTACTCATAAATACTTTATATATATAGCTTTTTTTGTACTCATACATATTTAAAAGATACAAATCATAATACTATACAGGTATAATTTAGTGGCCTTCCTTTTTCACATATGATTAATTATACACACGTTAGTGGCATTAAAAACCTTTAGAGCATGAATTTTAATTAGACTAAGCTATTGTTTGTCTACTATAACTGAATCAACCCCTATTCTTTATTTCCTCTCCAACAAATACTTGTAAATTTCCTTTTAATGTAAATTTGCTTTACTTTTTAACATAAGTACTCGCTGAATCTAACCCTTGTCTTAAAATTCTAAATAGAGAAAAGATGAGCTCTTTATTCTTCTGTTTAAAGAATTTCTTTGCTCTTTTTTTGAAAGATGTTTTAAGCCATGTCAGTTTAGTGCTCTGATATAAATAAGTAGGTAATTTTGCTTTATCGGCCCCCAGAACACAATGTTATTACTGAATGTTCATGCCTGGAGAAGATGAGTGGGAAGGAGGTGTGGGTGGTTTTCAGGAATGTGCATTGACCCTCAGTTTCCTCATTGGTAACATTGCTGAATGAGCATTATGGGATAACCTACTTGAACCATGACCTGGTTGAGGTTGGTGCTCTGGGGTGGGCCTTGGAGTCACCACGTAGACCTGGGAATGACCAGCTAGTGTCAGTCTTTCACACTTGAGTAGCGGCTTTATGTAAAATCAACCTTGTTAAGCTTTAGCTGAGCTCTGCTATTTTTTTTGCAATGGCAGTAAACATGTATTAAGCACCTAGTAATGTCATGCATGAGTGAGATACACCCTCCATGTAATGAGCTCAAGGGGGAGAGATTAAAGAAAATGTGATTGAAGTGCACGAACACTTAAGGATCCAGAATACATCCTATTGCCCAATTTAAGATCAAATTCATTAATCTCTACTTGATTAAATTGAATGTGTAAACTCAAACCTGGGTCTTCTCTTAAACTTCCAGGGCTGTGTAGTTTTCTGACTCAATGACTCATCATAAACACGTCTTTGCAGCCACCTTTAATTGAGGGCAGACCTTAGCAGACATGTACATCATACACTTTTTAGTTCTGTAAATCAATGACAGGTTTAAACACGCAGACAATATTTAATCACAACAGACCAAAAAAACAAACAAACAAAAAAACACTTAGAAAGTCCACCAGCCTCAATTTTGTAACACCTAATATCTAAGGATATTTTCCAAGAGAAGAAAATAAGACGTTGAGCTTTTTGTTACTTAATTATGGAAGATGATACATGAACCTGAAATTCAGGAAGAGCCATTAGAGCCTTGTAGTTGGTCCCTCCAGGGCTGATTGGGCCAAATTTAGCATTCAGCTGTCACTGGAGCAAGAACACAATCCTCAAGACACTGTTGCTTAGAAATTTCATGCGTTTCTGTGATTTGTCAGGCCGGGAGTTCAGCTAGGAGTCAGGTCCTTTTCTGACTACCAAGAGAATTTGTCCCTTTCTCAGGCATGTCCTTCAGGGACAGTGAATGGGTGTGTTTCAGTGCCTGGCTTCAGAGGGTGGTCCCTGCTGCCCAGCAGGGGCCCATCGTTCCCCCTCATTCCTGCTAGGAGGCTTCCAAGCCAGGGCCGGTGTGGGGAACTACTTCCAAGTTGAAATGCCTTGTGCTTTTTGCTGCCGGTCATGTAATAAAGAGAAGTCCCTCGGTAGGGTTCATCCCCATAGTGTTCTCTCATTGGGCACTTGGCTTGGTCCTTAACATTCTTCTTTTATATGAAGCACATGGGGATATGGGGAAATTTTCCCAGATGTGAGGACATTACTTGGTTTGGAAAGCAGAACTTAAGTTAGCCAAATGGAAATTACAGGGAAAGAAATATTCTTAGGGTTTGAAACAAGAAGTTAACTTAATTTGCCTTGTATTCTTCAGGAGGATTTCAATATCTTGAGTGTTTAAAGCTAGGAAAGAGACCACATCATATATGGCTGAAGCAAAAAAACCTTTAGCTTAGAACATTCCAATTAATGTAACAAAGGATTTTGTTGTTGTTTTGTTGTAAAAAGGACTGACTCCTTGGCTCCCATTCCTAATAACAATGCAGATAGAGTCATGCAAAGGGTTTGTGAGCCTGTGAGGGAGAAGAAAAAAACATTTCCTCTATCCTCTTAAGTTCTGCAGTAGAAGCCTGCAAATTAAACTGACAAAAGCAAGATTAACAGGAGAAAAGCCAACACGTTTTATGTGATGTTAATTTCTCTGTGTGGCACAGGGAACCTCAAAGGAAAGAAGTGAAAATCCCAAAGATGCAGTTGGGCTTGAACGCCTCTATACCATTTTAACAAAGAGTGATAAATTCTGAAGAAATGACTAGACAAAGGAAAGTGGCTGAGAAATATATGGGGGAACCTAATGGAAGAGAAGGGTTATTTTCGTAAAGTTTATTTCTTTGAACTCATCTTGGCATCAGATCCCCAACACCAATTATAAAAATGTTCTCTTCTTCCTGATACCAGGTGGAAATTTATGCTCTGCTTTTAGACAGGGAGAAGAAGGGCAGAGAACCTTTCCTGGATCTGTTGTTTTTCAATTGCCTTCAGTTCAAAATAAGTCAAAGCAGCATATTGTGGGGTGGCATGTTCTAATCCCCTTCGGGCTCTTTGTTCCAGAGAGATTCTTCCCTGAATAGTTAGGCCCAGCCCAGCAGCAGTCATGGAAATGTTTGCCTGGTCTTCTGGGTTATGATTTTACAAGACTAGGTAGGAATGCACAAAAATGAAAATGGAAACTTTGTTAAGGAACCAGGGATATATTTTTTTCTTTCCTCAAATTTTATCTAAATTATATTGCTTTTGCTTATTTTTAAAAAAATAGTCATATTGATAAAAACAAACAAAAAACAGTGACTCTGTTTTTAAGGGAATACCCAGCAGAAACCCTTAGAATGGGCTCTGGTTGTTCTCTAAAAGGCCACTTTCAGAGTTGGAACATGCTGGTAACAGAAGAGAAAGGAACAAGGAAGGACCCAAGTCTGTGTTCATTTATTTGACTGATATTCATGGATTTGCCCATGGGTAAGGTGTTGACCTGAGAAGGAAGTAAAAATGATTCAGTAGTCCCTGACTTCACTGAGCCTACTTCTATAAAGGAAAAAATAAAGCAGGACATAAAGAACTGTAATACACAGGAAGATAGGAGGATAAACCATGCCTTGAGAATTCCGAGGCTGGAAAGAGTATATTGAATCAGGCAATCAAGGGAGTTTTCACAGAGGAGATGGCCTTTGAGCTGAGCCTTCATGGATTCCGATGTATCCTCATGAAGAGAAAGAGTGCTCTAGGCAGTTAGAAGGAACAGCATGGACAAGGCACCATGAGCACTTCATGCAATCAGGAAGTAGAGGACCCAAGCTCTGTCCAGCATGAGCTGTGTGGGAAAGAATATTGGGAAGTTAGCCTAGAAGACCAAGGTTGACTGAGGTTGTCTTATAGGAGAGCTTGAATGCCAGGTGGGGAGATCCATGTTGGACTGGGATGGCATCAAAGGGATTTTCAACATGGCACTCCCAGCACCTGGAAGCCCAGCAAATTAGAAAAGGTGGTGAAACTGAGCCACGAGCTGGGACCATAGTCCAGGGGAAGAACATCAGTGGTGTTGGGAACCATGGGCAGAAAGAAACAGGACAGGAAAAATGTGGTGAAACTGGAATCTGTGAGACATGAAGGCTGGCTCGATGACAGAAGCAAGAACTCAAAAGAATGGTCAACTTTTGAATCCTGGTAGAAATTTAAGCACAAATTGGAAAGCCAAGAGTAGTAATGGGGTTGGTGGTGAGGCGGTGCTGCACTGTTCTACATGGTGAACATGAGGTATCTGGGGAGCACTCAGATAAGAGATCCAGAAAGTTCTGAACAGGCAGGAAGAGAAAGCAAAATAAGGCAGCATTCCAAAGCATTTCAAGATAGATGGAAAATGCTCTTTCAGACAGATGGAAAAGCATTTGGTGTATGACTCAGGAATGTGTTTAGTAGGCCTTAGATGAGGACAGAGTATGCTTGCAGGAGAGAAATCACTGGTGGTTACATCGCTTTCAGTGAAGACCTTGCCTCAGTTTCTCTACCTTAGAGTGGGGATATATATTTCAAGCCCCCATACCATTTACTGAGCACCTGCTATATGCAGACCACATTATTCATTACCTGTAATCCTGCCAGGAATGTGCTCCTATGCCAGCTGTCCAGATGAGCATGCCACAGATGGAAGAGGCTGGGTCCCTTGCCCCAGGCCATCCAGCTAGTAGGAATATTAACAAGGATATGCTTGGTTCCCAGGTCAAGTTCTTTTTCTATAGGAAGCTGTCTGCTAATACTGTCACAGCTGTGGCCTTCAGGGACTGAGACCCCTGCCTTACTATCAGGCAGCAATGTTGAGGTGACAGATGTCACTTCCCCAGCTTCCCCAGAACAGCCCAGACTCAGCTACCAGCAAGTAGACCTATGCCCAAGTGCTCATGCTTTCATTCTTCTGCTGCTGGATCTATTTTCAAAAGCAAAAGTCAAAACAGGTTGCCTGACAAGTGTAAGCATATCCATCGCAACAATGGGACAGGATATTTGGAATGAAGACTGTCCTAGAAAAGCTAAGATGGAGGTTTGCTATACTGATGTCCCGTAATGGAATAGGCTGTGCATGAAAAATGGTCAGAGATTCCTAGGGGAAATAGTAAGCAGGGAAACAAGATGTTCAGTCCTTCATGTCATTAGAAAGGGGCCCCAGAGCCTGCAGGGGGCCTCCCCTCTAACGCACCCATCTCCTGTCTTGCAGTGCTCAGCAGAGTGTGGGGCTGGAGTGCGGACACGCTCCGTGGTGTGCATGACGAACCACATCAGCAGCCTGCCCCTGGAGGGCTGTGGGAACAACCGGCCTGCGGAGGCCACCCCTTGTGACAATGGGCCCTGCACAGGCAAGGTGGAGTGGTTTGCAGGGAGCTGGAGTCAGGTGAGTGGCGGGAGCTGGCTGGGTTCCTCCGTCCCTGGTCAGAGAGCATACACACTGGGGTGCGGGGGGTGGGTGAGTCAGGAAACCGGACTCGGTGTACCCCAGGCATCCTGGGTCTGAATCCCCGTGGTGGCCCTGGAGAAGCTGCTTATGCTCTGGAGCCTCTTTCAGTCAGCAGAGTTTCTTGAGCACCTACTATGTGCTCATCTCAGCACCTAGAATATGTCAATGAGCAACACAAATATCCCTGCCCTCAGGGAGCTTATGATCCAGCATGGTTTCTTCGTCTGTAAAAGGCTGTTAATGACCGTACTGTGTGAGGTTGTTTTTAGAAGAAATGAAGTAATGTCTCTGAAGAATGCAGCATAGTGCCTGACCCAAACACACAATAAATCGTAGCTGCTGCTGCCATATTGTCCCTAACAAAGCTGGTTTTGTTTGTATTTGAGTGTCAGAAGCCCACATAAATGTGATCCAGCGATCCTGCTTGTGGGGATATATCCAAAGGAAACAAAACCACTGTCTCAAAGAGGTGCCTGCACTGCCATGTTCATAGCAACATTATTCACAATAGCCAAGGTCTGAAAATAGCCTAAGTGTCTGTTGATAACCTAAGGAAGATGTGGTGTGTAGATATACATTATGTATATATTGTGTCTATATATAAAATGGAATATATAATAATATGTAATTATTATATGTAATATATAATTTTATATTATATTATATATTATGTATAATTATATGCATTTATATGTTATATAATTTTATATATTTTATAAAATATATATTAATATAATATTATATATATTATATGTATATTATAAATATATGTTATAATATATTAATATATTTTATAAAATGTACAAATATATGATATATAAAATTATGTATTATATATCACATATATAAATATGATTTATATTATAATTATACATGATAATATATAATATGTATATATTACATAAAATATATTGTATATTGTGTATATGTTGTATATACATACTATATATATAAAATACATATACACATTATGTATATTATATATTATATTGTATTGTTATATATTATATTTTTATATATTATATTTATATATACAATGGAATATTATTCAACCATAAAAAGGAAGGAAATCCTGCCCTTCATGACAACATGGATAGACCTGAAGGACCTTATGCTAAGTTAAATGGGCCAAACAGTGAAAGACTGATACTGCATGGTTTAACTTATATGTGGAATTTGAAAAACAAATGAAACTCAGGGAAATGCAGAATGGCAGTTGCCAGGGTCTGGAGGGGGGTGCATGGGGAGAGGTTGGTAAAAGGGTACAGACGTTCAGTGATAAGATGACTATGTTCTAAGGATCTAACATATAACACGGTGATACAACTGATCATACTGGCTCAGTGAAATTTGCTAAGAGAGCAGGATGTAAGCATTCTCGCATACACACAGAAGAGGTGACTATGTGAGGTGACAGGTGTGTGAATTAACTTGACTGTGAGAATCCTTTCATAATACCTATGTACATCGAATTGTCATTTGTACATTTTAAATATATCACAATTTTACTTGGCGATTATAGCTCAGTAAAACTGAGGGAGGGGAATAGAAGCAGATAGAGGAAAAATTGCGATTGTTGCCCACATAGAGCAGATCATACAGAATAACTTTAATAAAATAATTTCATCGATCAACTGATTTTTTTCCTCGGCATTCCAAAATTGAATACACCCCCCCTAAGAACATGTGGAAAAGATTGTTCCCTCTTCCTGCCCTGTTCTGATTGCTATTAGTATTTTGAGTTCTTGGGCCCCTTAGCATTTGGCTCTCAGGGCTGACTTGTTCTCCAAGGACTTTCTGGCTGATGGTCATGATTTACACATTATCAGGACCTCTGGCTCCATTCAGAATTTTATTTCTTTTAAGTAGCTCTAAAAACAGGCCCTGAAAAAAATAGACTGCCCTGTCCTTGTAAGCTGATACAACCCCCTTGGAAAGCAGTTTGGCAATAAAATTCAAGAGCCATAAAAATGTTCACTTGCCTTAACCAGTCACTCCACTTCTGGGGATTCATCTTAAGGAAATAATTAACAGAAGAAAAAAAAAAAGGTTTTTTAAACGAGGTGTTCATGACAGCAGGGCACTGAGGGATATTACGATGTATCCTAACTCATTAAAATATGATGTAACAACAACAGTGATAATTCGGGAGAGGTAGGAAGTACACACGATCCAATGGTGAGTGAAAACCAGAACATGAAAATAATATGAACTTTATCTCAGCCCCTTTGAAGAATCGGTTTTTTAATGAACAACCCAGGGAAATGTTTTCTTCTCAAATTTCCTTGAATGTTTTTATAATACAAACTGTAAAATATAGAAAATTCAAAAAGAAAAAGAATTTAAGTACTCCCAGTGCTACCCGAGTGGATATCAGAGTCAGACATACCTGAGAGCAGGTCCCCGCTCTACTTCTTTGGAGTTCTTCTGGCTTGGGGCAGGCAACATGACCTCTCGGAGCCTGTTTCCCCATCCAACCATGAGGATGAGAATACCTACTAATATGTATTAGTTCCCTGTTCCCGATGTTTATTATTTTGTCTGCCACCTGTTTCCATATCACTATTGGCACCAAAACACCTAGGACCCAAATCCCAAAGGTAATTCAGAGTAAACTGTATTATACCAAATATCCCCAGAAACAAGGCAAAGGGAAGAGTCCTCTGGGAAATTGTGACAGTTTCCACATGGTGAAGATAAGCAGTGCAATTCAACTTGAATGTCTGCCAATCTCAGAAAAGGAGAAGGAACCAGGATTCAGGCTCTTTTTCACTTGCGGGCCTCCTGTTGACCCCAGGCTTGCTCAGAGAACTGAGAGTGATGTGAATCTGGGGGACGGCAGTGTTCATTTCTGCTCACACTCAAAACATGGAATTTATTGTCTTGTTGCCCAAAGGGTCACAACATGACTGAATGTGACAAGGTTTTAGTTCTGGATTTATAGGGATATTGGAGCCTGCGGTCCCCTCCCTACCCTGGGAATTTGATGTTATCCCCAAAGAAAATGAAAAAGGGCATGCTTATGTACTGGAAATAGAGTGAAAATAAATGTTCCTTCTGTCCATGTGGTTTGAATGGTAGTTGGTATCTGGAACACCCCACAAGCCTGGTCACAGTGAACTATCCAGAGTGGACATGGAACCCAAACCATACCTAGCAGAGCCCTTCCCTGGGACTTTTGATGTAGACCCAAGGGAGGAGACCCCCTGGGAAGTTGTGAGCACAGGTGCTGGCAGTGGCCTTCTTGAGCCTTCAGAGAAGACCAGCCCAAGAGAATGAGACCTATCAACTTTAAGGAGTCTTTTCTCTATCTGGCACCAAAGTAGCCCAACTACTACTCCTAAGATATTCTGTCAGTGTCTAGATTGGTGCCTGAATTGATGCACAGGTGTTTCTTTTCTTCCCTGCCAACTTTGGGTTTACTTCACTTTGTAGACTGTCTTTGTTCTGGGTGGGGGGGGGGGGGTCTTTCACAATCTTGACCATTGGGAGCAGCCCTCTTCTCTGCCTGTTGGTCTGGATTTATTTTCAGTGGCATCTGAGCAAACATTTCCACTCTCATCTTGGATCAGTGATCCACCAGAATACAACTACAGGAATTATTCAGATGTAGAAACACACGTAATTGCTACCACTGCTCAGTGGAAATAGTTATGTCTGTTAAATACTATCTCTGTCTTCTACACTTTTCTTCTATGAATTCTATGAACTATATTTTCTTTGATATTTGTTATATTTGATACTTATCAGATATTTATCTGATAAATTTATATGATAGTTATTTATCATTGTTGATTTTTCACCTGGTATATCTTTGTCAATTTTTATGTATTTTTTAAGATATGTCTTTTGCATGCAGGACTGTTTTTATCTTAAATTTTACCTAATCTGCAAGTCTGTTTCTTAATTTTAACCATTCACGTTTATTGTAATCACTTACATGCTTGGACTTTCCCTGCCATCCTAATTCGTGTTTCTATTTAGGAAACTTTCTTGATCTGTTTCTTCTTTCCTTTTCTGCACATGTGCACAGATCAGGTTTCCTTAATTCCATTTTTCCCCTTTAACATTTTGGAAGTTATAAATCCAATTTTTATTCACTTTGTGATAACACTCAAATTTTTAGCACAGAGTTTTTAACTTTCATGTTTCTATCTGTGTCAAGCTATCAGCAATCACATTTTCCCCCCAAAGCCTTAAGTCTTCATTTACTTACCTCCATTTTCTTAATCCACAATATCTCCAAAAAGATGCTGAGATCATCTGAATCTAGCTCCATATTAATGTTAATTAATTTTATAGAAAATACTGATTTTGGTTTTAAAATAGCTGTCTCCTCTCCAAAGTTTTTTTTTATTGTAATATTATTCACATAACATATAATTCACCTTTTTTAAAGTTTATAGTGCAGTGGTGTTTAGTATATTCACAAAACTGAACAACCATCACCACTGTCTAATTCCAGAACATTTTCATCATCCCCCAAAGCCCTTTTATCCCTTATTAACAATAGTTCTTGCAAACTCTTCTGCTTTGTGTCTTTCCTGGTTGTGTCTGCTTCCTGGTTCTTTTTCATTTAATCAGAGACCACTAGTCAGTAACAGGATCACGAGTGGTAAATTTCTGAACCCTTGAACATCTGAAAATGTCTTCTCTTTGCCCTTTGATAGTAGGGGCAGATGCCTTCATGTCCCCCTGCCAGTCAGGCCAGCCCAGCTGTTCCTGGTCAGTGCCTTAGCAGCTGATCACTGTCTCACCATCCCAAGGCCTCCTCCTGTTCTTCATATTCCTTCTTGCCTGAAGCTCTAGAACTGCTTCCTTTCTGCTGGGCAGCCTGCTCTCTGCATTTGAACTATGATGTGCTCCTTCAAGTTAATCCCATCTGCCTTTCACCATTCAAATATTCCCCATAATTTCTGGTCCACCAGGGATGAATGCCCTTTCCCATTTTCAAATGCTATTTCATGCACACACACATATCCCCCCCCCCCCACACACACACATCCATTCACTTGTTCCTAGTGCACATATTCTGCCATTTCTGGGCATTTAGGGTGGAAGTCTAAGATATGTGCTCATTCTCCCTTAACTGCCTAATCTCTTAGGGGTTTGTCAAAATAGCAGAAAATAGCTTCAGTTTGGTCAAGGCTTGTCGTCTACTATTCTGCCAAGCACTCCGTACAGATACAGACCCCCAGAGCAGCCAGGGGTCTTTCAGGTCAGGTTTCCAAACCCCCATTTTGCAAGTGAGATAGTGGATACCTAGGAAAGTGCAGTATCTTGGCCAAAGATGCAGAGCTATTTAATGACGATGTCTGGACTAGTTTCCATGTCTCCCATTCTCCCCCTGCTGCCCCCTGGATCCTTAGTACACACTCTCACCCCTCTTGCAGGGGAGGCCGGGCCTTTTCCTGGTGGCCGGTCACCCCTCTCCTACTTCAGTGCTGTCATGTCCACAACTTTTGGAAGAAAAGGACAAAACATGAATACACCCCCAAATCAATCACTAACTCACTTGGAAGAAAAGAAGAAAAACAAACCAAGAAGACTTTTTCTCCAGATGTCTTATGAAGAGCCCCCCCGCTTCCAGAAAAGGGCACCAAGTGGAAATTGCTGCAGTTGATGCTTATTAAGTCCTGTGTGACTAATAGACCAGAGACTATTGGTTTGGGGTTTACCTTTTCCTTCTTAGATATGTGTAGTTTTTTCCCTGTTTTGATTTGACGGTGTTCCTGCCTATGGACAGCAAAGCTAATGTTAAGGGTTTCAACTAAAGAAATTGTTAGAGGCTTTTGTAAAGATAGTAGATTATTTAAGATTTCTAGAAATACTGGATCACAGCTTTAAAATGTTGTAATCATAAAGTATTAAGAGTAAACCAGACATGAAGAGGAAACATTTTACAAAGTAATCGATATTAAACAGAATAATTTGTGAGAAGTTATACACATCATGTTTCTGTAAACTAACAAAACACGCCAACATGTGTAATTGTCTGACTGCCCTCTTTGTGTGACTACACTCCCAAGCTTCCCACCAAGCTGGGAAGGGAGAGGCTTGGACTCCACAGTCAAAGGCTTCCTGCCAGCCACCTGTTGGGAGGGGAGGACTCACCATAGGGGAAATTGTCCCCAGTCTGGGATCCTCCCAGCTGTGGGTGTCCCAAAGAATTTTAATATAGCCCCTCGTCCACAGTGTGTGGGCTCTGAGAGATTAATTCATTTCCAGATCAACCAGAATGATAGTTCATTGTTTTACAGTGAGAAGTTTCAGAATCTACTGGAAAAGAACCAGATTGATAGGCTGATGTGTCCCTCTCTGTGGGCCAGGACAGGGGGCATCTAAAGAGGTGGTCTGAAAGAAATTATGTCAGTCTCCCACAGAGGGCACCACGATCTCACTGACCAGCATCCTGGCACTGTGATAACTCAGGGCACCCACTCTCCATTCCCGACACAGAGCTCTTAGGAAAACTGGCATCCTCTTGTGACATCTTATCCAGTAACATTTTCCAGGTGTCTCTGGGCTTGTCCTGACTGAATTGATGATAGAAAGCCCTCATAAACATCCCTTGATGTTCTTGTCCCCTTTCCATCATGTGACATGCATCCTTTTCTGATGTTTCTCCAGTGTTCCATCGAATGTGGGAGTGGGACCCAACAGAGGGAGGTGATTTGTGTTAGGAAGAATGCGGACATCTTTGAAGTATTGGACCCCTATGAGTGTTCCTTCCTGGAGAAACCCCCCAGCCAGCAATCGTGCCACCTCAAGCCTTGTGGGGCCAAATGGTTTAACACAGAATGGAGCATGGTAAGTCATGGTGTTCTCAATAGAGCTTGCCTTAGTACATCATTCGTCTGCTTTCCTCCCAGAGACAGCCAGAGCACCTACTGCGTGCCAGAGTGATCCACTCTAGACTGTCACTTTCAGGGCACCTCTGAATGCAGCCTGCTTGTTGGGAGGCTAGGACCATCTTGATCTCTAAACTGTAGAGACCATGAAGCCATGAATCTCAACCTCAGTGTGCGTAAGAATCAACTGGGCTCTTGTTTGAAAAGACGGATTCTGGGTCCACTCTAGCTGACGAATTTGCATTTTGAACAAGCTCTTGAGGTCCCTTGGATGCCGGTGTCCTTGGGCTGCATTTTGAGAAATGCTGTTGCAGCAGATATTGGCTGAAGGGATCCAAGGATGCTCTTGGGAAGACTGCGTCGTGCGGCGGTCTGGAAAAACTCACTGAAGGAATTTCTGTCAGGCCTCGGAGACCTGTGTGTGTGTACTTTTTTCCTAATTCTTTAGACATTATAGATTGTAGATTATGGGACTGATCCTGTTTTTCTCTTTGAATTGGCCCCTTGGAAACTCAGAACCAAAATTGGAGCCCATCTCTAGGAGAGAGTTTATCAGACCTTACAGAGTGGATTTTGTATGCCAGTGTGCCCCGGCTTTTCCCTCTCTTTCCTATTTTTACCTTCTTTTTTGCTCCACTAGTCTTACCTCTTTTTCCTTACATCTTACAAACCATTAAATATTTCTTAAGACCCCTGAAATCTTTTCTGTGAAAAGGGAGGGTAATGTGTAAATGAGGAGACAGAGAAAGAGTTAATTAAGGAACAAAATTAGGGAAGTAGGTAATTAAGGAACAGAATGGGAAAGGATGCAAACAGGAATGAAAAAATCTTTTTTCAAAAAATTCCTGAAATAGAAAACTGCCTAAGGCATCACTGCTGGTGATACAATGCGAGGACACGTGAGGGGGTGGCAGAAGGTTCATTCTGCCTTTTGTCCCTGAGGATCATCAAACAGGGCCTGTAGGTGAGGCCAGAATAGAGGCCAAAGCCTTCCTCAGAATCATGCAAAGGGGATAAAGAGGATTTTGCTTATGAAATATATGTATAAAAGCTGTATGTCTGCTCTAATGATAACAGCCTTCGGGCACAGGGTAAACTACACCTGAGAGACAAATGGGAACAAAGCAGGTGTTGAGTTTGAAACATGTTTTGTCGACTTCCGGGAAATGGAATTCAATCATTTTGATGTTGGCCACAGCGTTTGAGAATGCAGAACAGATCACTATATTATTTTGCCTTTCGGTTTGGAGGGTGTAGAAAGGGCCAGAGTTCACCAGGCCAAGTCAGAAGAGAGGAACTCCCAAAACTGGAAATAACCCAGATGTGCCTCCGCAAGTCGGTGGGTAAACAAACTGTGGTACACCCCCAACCACAGGAGAGCACTCAGCAACAAGAGGAAATGAGCTGACATGGTCGAACTTCATATGCACTTTACTAAGTGAGAGAAAGACCCCAAAGCTACATATGGTATGATCCCATTCATATATTCTGAAAAAGAGGCCACCCCATGGAAAGAGACCACATTGGTGATGGCCAGAGGGTGGGGTGGGATGCGTCTCGCTACAGAGGGGCACCACAAGAGGATCTGCATGTTTGACGAAACTCTTGGATCTTATTTGCAGCAGGAAATACACAATTCAGTGAACTTGTCGAAAAAGAACTGTGTGCCACCACAAAAAGTGACTTTTTCTGTATGTAAATTGAAAAACAAATACACTAAAGAAAATATGAAATAAATGATTATGACAATAGCAAAGACAGTGATGGAAGTGAGATCTCTTTGAATATGCCTCGTTTTATAAATTTGAGTTTCAAGCCAAGTAAACTTGTATTTAGATAATTCTAAAACAAAATTAAATTTGAGAGAAACAACCCCTAAAAATGGAAAATATAGTGAAAGAAATTAACCTAAACACATATCCAGTTGACAACATGGGCACGATTGCCAGGTGGCTTTAAAATGCATTACTTTGGGGCACCTGGGTGGCTCAGTCTGTTAGGCATCCAAATCTTGATCTCAGTTCAGGTCTTGATCTCAGGGTCATGAGTTCAAACCTCTGGTTGGGCTCCACACCCAGGCTACTGGTTGGGTTCCAGTAGTGGAGCCAACTGAAAAAAAACAAACGAAAGCAAAACAAACAAACAAAAATCCAGTAATTTGACTGTCCATCCCTACAGACCAAGAGAATTGTCAGAAAATGTTGACACTGTTTGCAGGGGTCATATTTCTAGTGAGAGTGTTGTAATTATAATTGGAGATAGTTGGGGGGATAGTGTGTGATAAAGTAAACAAGTAATTTACTTTATGATAATATATATGTAATAGTTTATATGATAATATGGTAGTATCTTTCCATTTTCCCCAGTATCCATGAGAAATAGGATTCTCAAATTAGGAGAATGCAGATACAGGTGAGATAGAAGAGGTTTAAGTGAAAATCCTGCTTTTCTGAATTTGAATTAGAAACATCAGTATGAACTCACAAATTTATCCTAAAAAAAACAAAAACAAAAACAACTATTTCCCAGTTTTACCCATTTACCCATTGAAAGAGCCTAGAAACAATGGCTGACCCAGTAGCGAAGGGCATGTCTATCAGCCAAAGAGCTGATTCCAGCTTTGGGGCCATATACATACAAATTAGATTAGAGTATCTTTTTACTCCAGGCAGCAAGAAGTTCTCACAGACAATTTAGCTCTTGCCCAAAGGACTCAAGAACCAAGTTTTAGGGTCTCAGACTAGCCACTGAGGAGACATCAGTGAACATCAGTAAAGATAGTAATTGCCATAGATTGAATGAAATATGTGTTTAAACCCATCCATTTATAATAAGTGTATAATAATAATAAAATCAATTAGAGGATCCTCCATTAGGGAAACTATCTCATTGTTCTGAAGACTGGGAAATAAAGGAAAGTAATCAACCATTTACCCTGTCTTTCCTAAATAACTTGCACCACTGGGTGTACCAAAGAGCAAATCTAGGTAGGGATAGGGGCTGGGAGGATATTCATTTCCTAGCTAATAAAAGAAGCAGCAATGATAGAGTTTTGCCACCATTCTTCAACTACAAGTGAAATAATGGATCTAGACACGACACACATAAGTGGCTGCAGACAGCCCCAAAACAGAGATAACCACATGCATCCAATGAAGCAGACAAAACCAAATCTGCACCTGTTAGGGCCTCTTCTACACCCAACTTCCAATTTACAGGAAATGCAGGGGACAGAGAATGATGTTAAACTGTACAGTGCAGATGCTGTCAGCAAAATCCCGACTGTGGGAAACTACGGGACAGGTGACTCCGTGCCTCCTGACAAGAAAGTATAATGTGGGGTTGGGGGGGGAGGCAAAGCAGGTGAACCTGTGGATTCAAAAGAGTCCTAAAAGGTCTGTTGACCAGCTGCAGTGTGCAGGCCTGATGTAGATCCTGATTTACAAAACAAAACAAGACAAAAATGTATTAAAAACTTGAGATTCACAGGAGATATGGAAATGGGAACTCTGAATGTATTTTTGAAGATAACTTGATTTTTTTGAAGCTATCAAAAGATAATTTTTGATATGATTAAAAGATAATCCAAAGATAATTTTGAAGATAATGTAATTTTGAAGATAATTTTGAAAACCTATTATTAATTTCCAGGTGTAATAATACTGTTGTGGTGACTTTTTTGAAGAGTTTTGTCTTTTAGAGTGACAAACTGAAATGTGATAGAAGAAGTGATGTGTTGTCTAGATTTGCCTCAAAACAGTAGTGGAGCGGAGTGGAGTGGATTCAGGTGGGGTATAGATGGGACACAACTGGCCGTGACTTGATGGTTATTGATGCTAGTTGATGCGTGAGAGTTTGTTTTAGTATTTAGTCTGCTTGTGAAGATGTTTGAAATTTCCCAGTATGTGCCGCTCCAGTGTGCTGAGTGAATGGACGGCCAAAGCCCCACCTCTCTCCTTTTGTCACCGTACAGTGCTCCAAGAGCTGCCAGGGTGGCTTCCGGGTCCGCGAAGTGCGCTGCCTGTCAGATGACATGACCATAAGCAACCTCTGTGACCCGCAGTTGAAACCAGAAGAGAAGGAATCTTGTAACCCTCAGGACTGTGTCCCTGAAGTTGGTAAGTAGGGGTTCCTATCTCGGAGAGAAGGTACATCCTTCTTAAACCCCAGCGGGTTCCCTGGTATGAAAATGCCAAGCCCATCTGGGTCTCTCCGTGACCCTGTGCACAGTCACGGGGTTCCAGGGGTCAAAATACTCTCAGTGTGAAAAGTTTCATAGTTTAAGATGACTGTTCTGGGTGGTGATCCAAGTCACCCTCCAAACTTAAGCGCAAATTGATTAAAGTGGTAATGATTTCAGAGATTGGGTTCCTTTAAGGTTGAAGTAGTGAGATTTCAACTTTTAATTGTAGGTGCAGAACAGTGGAAGGAAGAAAATTAGTAAGAAAGGTCTAAACCTATTTAGAAGAAAAATGTTAAATAATAATTTAAAATAAGAAAAACTTGGTATAGAACATAATAAGAAATGTGAATGGACAGAGGGACTAACTATTCATGGATGGGAACACTCAGTACTGTAAAGAGGGGGCACCTGGCTGGCTCAGTCCGTGGACCATGCACCTCTTGATCTTGGGGTCATGAGTTCAATCCCCATGTTGGGTTTAGAGATTACTTAAAAAATAAAATCTTTTTTAAAAAAAATTGTGTAAAGAGGATAAAAGAAGTCTCATGAGACTCAACATATAAAATGCTTAAATACATTGCCTTAACATATACTTGAACACATTATAAAATACAGAAATTAAAACTATATACTGAGTCGGGAAGAGACAGGGGTATTAGTGTTACAATACAGAATTCTGATGTACAAGGGAAGTGAAGTATGACAAAGGCCTAATTTTTAAAATTTTATTTATTTGAGAGAGTAAGAGAATGTACATACACGAGCAGTGGGGAGGGGCAGACATAGAGGGAGAAGCAAACTCCTCGCTGACCAGAGAACCTGAGGTGGGTGTGGATTGATCCCAGAACCCTGGAATCATAACCTGAGCCAAAGGCAGAGGCTTAACCAACTGAGCCACCCAGGTGCCTAATAAAAGCCTAATGGTAAGGAATTGGGGAGAGGAGAGACTTCCCTCTTTGAATAGATTAAAAGATCTATTTGAAAAAAAACAAAGCAAAACACTTTAAATCTTGCTTTATGCCATATATAAACATAAATGCCTAAAGAATTAAAGACCCTTGTGTAGAAAACACACTGTAAAAATACCAGAAAAATATATATCTTGGGGTTAGTTAAGGCTTCGTAAGCTAGACACAAAACTCAGAGGCCTTATTGCTGAATGTAAAAACATAACATAATAAATTAAAAACTGTTGTCCTGTTAAGTACATTGTATTAGTCAAGGTTCTCTAGAATGGATGGGTGGATGGATAAGTGAGTAGGTAGATAGATAGATAGATAATGACCAATTTGTCATAATTTATTATATAGATAGATAATGAATTATGACAAATTGGTTCACACGAACAGAGAAGCAGAGCAGTCCCACAACCTACCAGTCATGAGCTAGAGACTCAGGAAACCTGCTGGTGTAATTCCATCTGAGTCTCCAAGGTCTGAGAACCAGGGGAGCTGATGGTGTAAATTTCAGCCCCAGGAGAAGATGACATGAAATGTACAGCTCAAGCCTGAGGCAGGAAAGGGGCAAATTCCTCCTTCCTCTGTTTGATGTTCTGTTCAGGCCCTCAGTGAGTGAGGCCCATCTCCCCTGGGGAGGGCCACCTGTGTTACTGGGCCCATCAGTTCAAATGCTGACCCCATCCAGAAGCACCCTCCCAGACACACCCGGAAATCATGTATCATCTGGGCTCTCCATCCCCGGTAAAGTTGATAAATAAAATTAACCACCAGACACATCATAACCCAAGTTGGAAGAAAAGAAGAAAGCAAAAGAGAGGGAGAATGAGCAATAATTGTGAGAAAAATGTGAAACATACATTATTGGAATGTGATATAATCAATATAAGAAGAAAACGTCCAGCCGGGAGCCAGGAGGAAGAAATAGTGAGAGAAGTTACCATTCATGCACACAGATGTGTTCCATCTAGATGTCCCCTCCATTGACTTATTTACATTGGCACCAATAATTAGAACTTGATTTAAATGTGGATCCCAGTTGTTATGTAAATTGTTTTTAGAAGGGTACACTGTAATGCAACACTGGAAAGAAACATATATAAAGTCGTCTCTTCGCCTCTGGCCAGGGCAAGATAATTAAAGACAGTCAAAATTACCAGAACCTTAGAATTGATTGTACAATTTGCAGAGCTAGTAGTGATTAGTATAACCAGCTCCTGTGTTCTGAAGAGCCATCACGCAGCTGGCAAACATCTCCCCCAGTTTTCTAACTAATATGATGTGAGAGAAATTGTTTACGAGTCTGCTTCTGTCTTCTCCGTTTGTCTATGGTGTCTTCTCTAGGAGAAGGAAAGAAACTACTTAGCTTCCAACTACAGAAAAGTCAATTAAGGAAAAAAGGGAAACAATGGGATTAACAAAATAGAAAATGTAAGCAAAACCTTGGTATTGTTTGGTATGCTTTAGGTTTATACCATTAGAGCGAAAGGTACTAAAAATGTCTAGGCTGCAAGTGGGAGTTAAAAGCGCAAAGTGTATCCCAGACAGTTGCTCCCAGCAAGAATCTGTAGGGACTTAGAAAGTGACCAGGGCTCAGATGCACATTTGATTTTAATGCTAAAGAAGAAAATCAGACTGTTATCAGTTTTTTAAAATCTACATACATTTTTATAATCTTTCATGTAATTCCAAAGAGACATTACTAAATCATCTTACAATTGATAGTATCTTAGAATCAAATAAATGCCATTCAAGCTGAGTTAAATCCCTGATATACATAGAACTCACTCAGATTAGTTGAAAAAAGAAAACAAAAAGAACCACTGTTCCTCTGTACCTTCCCCTCAGTCTTGCTGTGAACCAAAAAGACAAGCTGTCCATTGTTGTAAAGAATGAAGGATGGAAACAAACATTATGGAAGAGGCTGAGCTGGTAACCAGCCTCACTAGTAAATAAAAAGCAAATTTTAAAAATAAGGGAAGTCTGTGTTTTTCCATAAGACTAGAAAACTTTTCTATAAAAAACTGGATAATATTCATTGTTGGCAAAGTTGTGAGGGGAAAAGTCAGGCTCCTGTTTGTAACTGAGTGGAATCTTTTTAGAGAACTTTGGCAATATTGCTCAATATATAAAGTATTTGGTATGTCAGTAACTCCACTTCTAGAAACATATACTAAAGATAGCCTCTCAAAATTGTACAGATATACATATACACGAAGAATAGGGCTCAGTAAATCGTGTAGAATTAATAAATGAATGAACGGTAGAATTTCTTGTAACTCATAAAAATTGGAAGCAGTTACATTTCTACCAGTAGAAGGAAATGGTTAGTTATGTTACTGTACCCAGGATAGAATTGATGTCCTAAAAAGAATGTGGTAAAGCTGAATGTTATGATACATAAATGTATTCAGTATATTTGTCAGTAATGTCAAGAAGCAAGCAGATAAAATTTGGTTACTTTCCAAGTTAGTCTGTAAATTCAAGCTATGTTAATCAAAATCTAGACAGGGCTTTCCATTGAAAAATCAGACAGATTGTGTCTGAAGTTTACATAGAAGATCATGGGCAAAGACCCAATAATGGCCAAGGTAATTTTGACAACGAACAATGTTGGGAAATGTATCCTTCATGTATCAGGACATATTGCACAAAGATAGACAAACTGATGGAACAGAACAGAGTGCCCACGAATAAATCTGAGCATGGTATGGCGTATGATACATGGTCAAGGTTAACAGTATGAGTCTGGGGAGGAAACGTGAACATTCAGTGAGTGGTGATGAGATGACTGTTTATCTGTATGGGAAAAAACCAGATTGAATTCCTACTTATCAACACACACACACACACACACACAAACACACACATCAATTCCTGGTGATGTGAAGAGAAATTCTTTTTAACTTTTAGAAGAGAATATGGGGAAATAGGCACATTAGTGTAGGGAAGGATTTCGTAAATGAGAAACCAAGTACCAAACCACCAAGAAAAATGTTATTATAACATCTATTATATTAAAAATAAACTCTTTTAAACAAGTAACACTGAAGCAAAGAAAAGCCACAGTTGTGGAGAAGATATTTGCAACACATCTAACGTGTTGGGGATCAGGACCATTACATGTCAAGAATTTCCAAGAATCATTTGTTCTAAGCCGACTAAATTAGCAAGGGGTCAAAGGACAGGAAAAGCAATTTGCCGAAAAGGAAACTCAGGTGGCAAATATACATGTGATGATGTGTGCAAAAAAGGTAAAACATGCAGCATAAGCAAAAGAAAAGCAAAACAAAAATATGAATAGTTGCACCCACCCCCTTCAGAGAGCAATTGGTGAGAGCCAGTAGGGTTGTCTATGTACCTTACACCCAAGCAAGACCCAGAGAGGGGGCATGTGTAACGGCTGTGCAAAGAGGCAATGTTGGCAATCGTAAAAAACTAAAAACAGCTAAACTGTAGTGTGGGTGGGAAATGGATCCTTAAGTTGTGGAATGTACCATGGGTACCATTCAGTGATGAAAATGAACTCCCCCTAGAGCAGTCCATAAACGTGAACAAATCACGCCAAGTCAGTGTTGCCAAGGAATATATACAATCTGCATAAAAAAAATATTTTTTTCTAAAGTTGAAATGCCACCTAGTGATTACGGTACCAACGTTTACAGTTCAGGTATAAAGACAGGATTGGGGATAATAAACAACCCCACGTGGGGCTTGATTACGTTGCGAGTGAAGAGAAAGGGCGAGGGGGTCACCGACCCAACTCTGGGAATTGCGTCTATGCAGGTGAGCAGCGAGCATTGAGTTATATTCTCTATACTTAATCCTGTCACCATGTTTAAAAGACAAGTAAAAGGGCGGCCCTTGGCCCAGCCTCCACCTCCCATAGGTAATAAACCAGGACCAGGACGGAAACCGCATCCCGCGCCCCTTTTCCGCCCACGGGCCCCTGCTGGCGCTGTGCTCAGAGGGTCTTTTCTGTTCTCTGTTGCTGCAGATGAAAACTGCAAGGACAGGTACTACAACTGCAACGTGGTGGTCCAGGCGCGACTCTGCGTCTACAACTACTACAAGACCGCCTGCTGCGCCTCCTGCACCCGCGTGGCCAACAGGCAGGCGGGCTTCCTGGGCAGCAGATAACAGCCCCGCCCCCACGCTGCAGCAGGGGAGCGGGTCAGGGAGGCGGGGAGCCGTGGGGCCAAGCCAGGGTTGTCCTTTAGCAACGCCTTAATCCGAGGATCCCTGCTTGGGAACCCTGGCACGTGGTGCTGTGCTCTCTGAAACCTAAGCGGTGGGGGTGCTTGGAGCTCTCCGCCAGCTCCCCTTCCAGCACTTTCTAAGTCAGCAGGTGGGCCCTAATGGCGCACTGCCTCGTCCGTGGTACTTCTGGCCTTTTCAACATCGGGGTCCCTTGGAGAGTCCAAGAGGTGGGTCCCACCCCGGAGCCCCGCGGAGCCTCGCTGAGACATCTGCTTCCCACTCTTACCTCAACCCCACGGTGCCTATTTTCGTGCTCGAAGACATTACTTTTTCCTGCCTTGTGACACAAATATCTCCTGTCAAATAGTGCTTTCTTATTTCGCAGGTGTATTCACAGATAATAGATCATTAGCGGCTCACAAAGCCCCAGAATGGGAGCCAGGGACTGAATCACTATCCCCATTTTACTGACAAGGAAACGCGACGTGATTTAAGGAATTGACCTGCTGGGTATATTGACCTGTGGGGTGGCAGGGTTGAGGCTGACCACACAACTCACCTGCCCAGAAGCCTTAGGTCTTCATTTCAGACCAAGCGACTAAGAAATTTCCCCACTCAGTAATCAGAGCCCAGCTCTAGAATTCTTTCCTCTGGCCAGAGGTCAAGAGGGTCCCCATAGGACTCCGTCCCCATAGGACTCCCCATAAAACTCCGTTTTACCATGTTTCTTTCTGTTTCTGTCTTCCTGGACAAGGTCACAGATACTGGTTACAGGACTCTGTGCAGGTTTTGTTAAACCCCATCCTTAAAGGAATTGTCCTTTGGGGTAGCAAGGTGATGCCTGATACTCTGATTCTGTTCATTCCCCAGTGATATGTGCCCCCCAGGGAACTGCACGCCAGGGGCCCTCTGGCCACAGAGCCTGTCCGGTCTCCATGCCCTGGGCTCTCTCGGGCCCACAGCCCCCTTTCCTGGGCTGTGCGCCACCCAGTGGAACGTCTAACCGACTTGTCTCAGCATAAAACCTGTGTTTATATTAGAAAGAGTCTCCCTTTGGTTTTTTCAAGTTGCTTTATGGATTTCTGTTTGTGATTTCTCATTCCTCCCCGCCCCCCCCCACCCCCCGTCACTATGACTTGTGACCTATATCCCACAGTCCCAGACTCAGCACTAAGATCTGCATTCATGCCACTAGCCGGTGGGGGGGGTTGGGGGGAATGGGCTCCTCCAGTGACAGCCACAGTGGCTGTGTCTTCCCCAGTGCCCTTCACCTAACTGCAGTTCCAGGGGCCTCGGGGTATAAGGGGGATACAGTGCACATTGAAAGGCAAACGATCTGAAAAGTCAACTAAAAGGAAAGAGTAGGGGTATGTGTGTGTGTGTGTGTGTGTGTGTGTGTGTGTATACATACACACACACATACATACAGTTGACCCGTGAACAACATGGGGGTTCAGGGTGCAAACCACCCCCTGCAGAGATGAAAATCCATGTATAACTTTTGACCCCCCAGAAACTTAGCTCCTAAAAGCCTGCTATTGATTGAAAACCTTACCAAGGACATAATCAATCAATACATATTTTTATATGTCATACGTATTATATAGTGTATTCTTAAAGTAATCTAGACAAAGGAAATGTCATGAAGAAAATCACAAGGAAAAGAAAATACAGGTACAGGGTTATGCGATATTTATCAGAAAAAAATCTCTGTATACCTGGGACCCATGAAATTCAAACTCATATTGTTCAAGGGTGATTTTATATATATGTGTATACATATACACGTATGTGTATATATATATACATTCTTTCACCAATTAAGAAAAGATTGCCAATTAAGAAAATTAAGGAAACTATCAGGCTAAACAAGTTGTAAGCCTGCAGGAAATCTGCCCTATTTAGTCCTAGGTCAATTTCTTTTAAAGCATGCCTCGATTCTTTGTAACAGAGTTTCCTCTGTGAGGCTTTTAACCCCAAAACCTGCTAATTTGGTGATCCCTTGAAGTTTCTGGGAGGAGTAGCTCCAGCCTAATCTGACACACTGTGTTTGGTTCTCACTACCCTTGGCTTTCAGAAATTCTATCTGGCCTTTCCATGGCTGTTTTTAAAGCCAGAGAGCTAGGTTCTTGTCTCAATGAGTTGAAGAATGAATCTCTTGGGAAAGAGGAGTGGGTAAAGCAATACAGTTCTGTTAAGCAAGGGTACAGAGAAAGCTCTTAGGAGCAAGAGGGGTCTGGCCAGGGTTGTCAACAGGGGCCTCTGCTAACTGTTTATTATTATTTTTTTAGAACTGACCAGGGAGCTAATGGCCTTATCAGTCTTGTGACATCTTGGTTTGCATAAGGACTAGTGATAACATCTTTAGTGGCTTACTTGTTTAGGGTCAGGTTTTTCTTTGTGGGTCACAGGGGACAGTCATAAAAGAAAAGCCCTGCCCCCCACCCCCCAGGGCAGGGTGGTCTGGTGTGTTCCCTTATCTCTGGTTTCCTTACACCCCGGCATTTAGGGGATTTCAGTGAGCTGGATCACGAAGCCCCCTCCCTCTCTCTCCCTACCTAGCCCCACCAGTCCTGTACTCATTCTTCTCTTCTTGGAGAGCACAGCCACCATTTTGCAAAAGCACGCCCATCTCTCCTCCTTTGTACATAGCGTAACTTGTGCAATATGGCAGAGACCCTGATTCCCTTGCCCACCAAGCACAAAAAGACCAGAGAAGCCAAATGGATGGTTTCTGTCCCGTGCACTCTCTCTCTCTCACCACCTACTTTTGCTTTTTGCCACGAGAAGAGTTACTTCTATGTAGCCGCTCTCAGATCTTATTGAGTGGCTACTCATATGAAGGATTCCTTGGAGGAGGTTTTCTTAACATGCTGAAGGGAGGAACAAGATCAGTGGGAGCAGAGAAAGGCTGATTTTGGCTCACATTGAGGGAAAACCTTGAGCGATCCAGCCTGCCCAACAGAGGTTTGGGCCACCCTACATGGGCAATGGCTCTGTCTGAAAGAGGTCGTCTTCATCAAGTAGGAGTTCAGCATCCTGGGTCCTTCCAATTTAGGATTCTCATGACAGCTGTGTCAATGCTGGCTTGGTCTCTTTGACATCTCTTTGTGCCCTGTGGCCCCCAAATGTTACCCAACAGTTGTTTAAAAAGGACAAGATCATCCATGAGAATGACCATCCCGCCAATGGTGGAACTGAGTCAGAGCAAATGTGTTTGTGCCATGTCTTTGGGAGGAAAATGTACCCAAACTAAGGGTCTTTTTTTCTCTTCCAACAAATAGTCGAGCTGTTCTTGGATTCCATTCATCTCTGGAAGGGCTATTAAGTTACTAGAACAGGCATTTTAATGACTTATCTGTCTTCGAATTCCAGTTTCTGCTGACTTCCTGGTTTGTTATGTCAACATCTAAATGCCTTTGTCCTTCGCACAACACGTCTGAGAAGGTCCCTCAGTGTTCCCAGGGAGGAGCAGATTGGAGGAATGCTCACCTTCTGACGTCTCTCCCCACAGAGATGCTTCTTTCTCCCTTCCTCCGCACCCTTTCTTTGCCATGATCTACCATTTCTTTCTCAATCCCCCTCCATGTTCCCTTAACCGGCCACTTCCAGAACTGGAAGTTACATTTTAATGCTGTTTTTCTTTTTTCTGTGTCCTGGATCACCTCATTCCCAACTCCAGATTTTAAAACTTGATGAACTGAAGGTGTTACCTGTTTTTTTTTTTTTTTTTTTTTTTTTTTTTTTTTTTTTACAAAAGTCAACAAAGCTCCAAGAAGAAAGAGTTGGCTATTTTACTTTCACTTATTGGGAAAGGAAAGTGTGCCCCTTGCACCCCAGATAAAGGCAATTCAGTGTGCTCCAGCCTCCCACCCCTCACTGGGACTCACATTTTTCCCCCATAGGAAAGAAACAGCCCAAGACACAGGAAAGCAAGCTTGTAAACCCGGCCACTAGAGGGAGGTGGGAGTCCTCTGAGTTCATTAACGTTGGGTCTGGGACAGCTGCGCTCTGGCAGAGAGAAATCCAGATAATACTAGTTATCTTCTTACACCTTCTTGGTTCTCTCTCTCTTTTAATTGAGGCATTTCAGAATTTGAATATGGACTTCCTAATGTAGAAGGCATAAATATAAGTGGCAAAAAGAAATATGGCTTTCCTTAAAACAGGCTAAAAAAAAGAGAAGAACCTATATCAGCCTGGCAGGTGGAGGCCAACAGTTGACGCTTGCCACAGAAAACATCCTTAATATGGCTCTAATGGGAAGTTGAGCACCTTACTGATGAAACGTGGAGGACGTGAAATTAGGGACAGTGAGGGTTCAGGATCCAAAGAGATCTGGGAGACTAGACCAAAATCCCTCTCTCTCTCTCTGTCTTTCTCTCTCTCTCTCTCTCTCTCTCTCACACACACACACACACACACACACACACACACAAAATGAGGCACTTAGGCTACCTAAGGAGAAAACATTAGGGAGGGTCCTGCCACACTGGGGTTGTGATTGCCGGAACCACACCTGAAGAACACTGGTGCTGGGTAGCATTCAGATAAGCATGCCCAGTCCTGACTAGGGCTGTAGACAGTTAGAAACGGTGGAGAGGACTTCATGAGAACGATTAGCCTGGAGAAGAAGAGAGGTGGGATGGCACTCTGAGATGGGCTAGCACTATGAGAGCAACCCTGAGGCCAGGAGATAAAAGCTACAGGGAGACAGACTTTAGCTCCTACAGAAGAACCAACTTTCCACAGGTGAAAGCCCCCGAAGGTAGAGGGCAGTTTGGTCACTGGTGGTCTCAGCGGAATTACAATGGCCATTAGTCAGAGGTGCTGAAAAGGGGAGTCAAGCACCCAGCTGAGGCAATATGACTTAGAAGGTCCCTTCTGAGTCTAGGCTTTAGTGACTCTGTCAGTAGAACAGCTTTGAGTGATTTGCCTCGTCTGAGCCACTAACCATTTCTGTGTCCGCCATTTTGATCCCAGTGTTGCACCTCT